GGTTGAACATGTGTAACGACCTGGCGAAAGCCATGAAGGCGTTGGACGGAAAAAAAAATCAGTGACATTGCACAGTTTCGATTTCACCGAGTATCATCTGTGGATGAGCTATTTTCGATGTGGAACGTTTGTGAATGGACAGATCATAGTTTGTAGTTGAGATTTGACCGAATATCACGTTTGGAAGAACTACTTTTGAATGTTTTCGATGCTCACAGAGCATTGTGACACGCATCGAACACAACCGACACTGCGCTGCGGTTGCACTCGTCTCGTTTTGTAGTTGAGAGTTGTGATGTTTTTGTAGGAAACCGAACATTATTTGAAGTTTTTGGAAACATGTCAACAGTTTGAGAACCGAATGAAAGCTTTTGATCCTCAGTGGATCGCTTTTAGGAATTTCGTCAAGACTGGAATCCAGTTTGCAGTTTGCACAAAAACCACCCCTTGGTTTCTTGTGACCTTTGAACAGTATTTGAACTGAACACCCAACGACATTCGTTGGCTCAAGCCCGAGCGAGAGAAACAGAGTGTGTGTTGAAGCGTTGCTTGTTGTCTGGAGTGATTTGAGCGAGAGAGCACGAGAGTTTGACTCACGTTTGTGGAAAAGCCTTTGGGACTTTGGGTAACTTTCGCGATAGGTTTTGTTTTGGTTTTGAAGGCACAACTTAGCGGTGCAAAGTTTAACGGAAAGGTGGTCAATTTTTTTTGCTCGACGGCCGTTTATGCTCTGAGGCACGGTCCTGTCAGCTTTGAGACTCGCGGACCAGCGGGGAATCGAACCACCACCGGCAGTTTGTCAGCGACATAAGAGTGCCGCGATACCAACTGAGCCACGAGGACGACTACAAGGTGAAAGGTGGTCAAGCAGCAGTTGTAGGAAGTGCTGGCGGAAAGGCCGGCGCCTTTCGTCCATAGAAGCTCCGACTCGGACCTCCACGCTGGTGCAAGCAGTTCAAGCAGGTTTCCTAACTGTTCACATGCATATGGATTGCTCCAAGATAGGTTTAAAGATGTTCAAGTAGGTTCAAGGTGGTTCAGTACACTGTACATCCTCTCACCAAACTTTCACAGTATTGGGTACACTCTCTCATTACTTTGAAGGAGGTGTGCACTCTCAGTCGTGGCCTCCTTTTGTCTATGTTGGAAGTTGCACGGTCCCGAGGGTCGAAGCACTGATCTGACTGTACCTCTGGTGGGAGGGCTTACCTATTGTGACCCTCTGTTCCGCTGGTGTGTTGTACCCCCTGGTCGTCACTCCGCTGCCCCTTTTCATTGGGGTCTTGTGTCTCCCCTTCTTCCCCTCGGTTTTTGTGTTTGGGTTCTCCGTGTCTTCCTTGGTCTTTCTCTTCGTCTCTCTTTCTCCCCTCCTTTCCCCTTTCCCTCCTGCCCCCTAACTGTTTCTCTGCTGCGGGTGGCTATGGCTGGGTTCTGTGGTTCAGGTCTGGCTTTTGCCTCTCCTGTCGTCCCCCACGGCCCTGTGTGGGGAGGCATCCCTGCTGTTACTGCACTTTGACCCCACTACCCCCATCGTTGGTTCTGCAACTTGTGGCTTGTGTGCCCCCTTTCTTCCCCCTTTCTTCGGTCTTTGGTCTACGTCTACGAACAGTCGCTGCTCCTTGCAGCTATGTCCCATCAGCACCCTCGTACAGCTACGACCTACGGAGCTGTGCATATGCGATGGCGAAGACTGCAATTTTGAAGAGGGTGCACTAGCTTACTGACCAACCATATGGACGAGCACTGTCAGATGTTGGGCCGGTGTGAGCACCGAAGACAGTATTTGGTGCAAGAGTTCCCGTCGTAATGGCTGTGCCACCATCGGAGGGCCCCTATCACTGTGTGTGTCTTATCAGGGTGGACTCTGTTTCAACTGCGGTCCACGCCTACGTCTGCCCTGCGAATCTGGGCATCGAGCCAGCCTGCAGTTTCATAGTACAGACTTATGGTACTACATGGTGGTCCTCTACAGCAGTGCAGCACTCCAATAATTTTTGCCGAGACATGATGCTGTCTCTGGTTGCCTATGCAGTGACACCTCCACCAGTTCCTCTGGCCTGACGTTTGCTTTTGCCCCCTCGGGGGGGGCGTCTGCGATGGATCTCGTGTCATTGTCATGGCCTAGCACTTTTTGCAGCAGCAATTGTTAGGACTGCCAATTTCTCTGAATTTCCTGAGACGGGGTGCCACCTGAACCAGCGCTATGCAATTTGATGACCTGACAAATAACTCCTGAGCGGAAACTGAGAGGCACCGGCCTTGTCTTGTATAGGTTGCGATCACCAATGAGTGACTGCATGTTGCTGCTGAATACCTTAATTCGTTTTCTCAATTCGTTTACTGGTGTGATGAATTCGTTTCCGCATATCTTTGGAAGTCATAGAGGGTCTTCTCCCTCTATGCTGCTGTGGCGCTGTGTGTGTTTTTGTTTGGGCTCCGGCCCCGGTCTGCTGTTGTTTTGCTGTTTCCTGCCCCTGTGGCGAAACGCTGGGGGATTTGCGGGTCGCTCTGATTGTTGGGTGTTTGGTTTCGTGTTGAATTTTTGATGGACGCCACTTTTTTATTTAGAATTTGCGGCTCCAGCTGTCAGGACCGAGCGTTAGAGCTGCGTCGGTCGCACTCCGGAAAAAAATATATGAGATAGAGGTCCTGTCGGTCCTTTTGGCCACGAAACTTTGGATGCCATTTTTGACAGGCTGTCCGACGGTCTTCTTTTTGGACAATGTGGCTGCAAGCGCTTCGTTCAAAGGATGTGCAGCCTCCTTCATCAAGGAGTTCGTTCAGCTTGAAGCGCGTCTAAAAAATTACCCTAGGTTTAGTAGAGTACCGAGCCACTCGAACATTTCAGATTTACCATCTCGCCTCTCATTCAGTGATCCGACGCTTGCGGGATGTGAAAGAGTTCGGATTGTTGTAGTCGCCCTCATGGCTCAGTTGGTATGGCGTCACTCTTGTGTCGCTGACAGACTGCCGGTGGTGGTTCGAATCCCCGCTGGTCCGTGAGTAAGACTCAAGTTGTCCGGACCGTGCCTCAGAGCTGAAACGGCCGACGACCCAACAAAAAGAAAGAGTTCGGATTTTTGTGCCAACCCGCATTTGAAGTGGGGTAGGCTCAGGGTGTGTTGGGCAGCCTCTCCAACCAAACTGATCCAGTCGAACTTTCCCCGCAGCGTGACAAAAGAATTTGGGCACAGTGCGAGTGAAGCCATTGTTTGTCGGTCGTTTTTTGACTGAATTGTCGATGTCAACATTTTTGAAGCACCACTGGCTTGAGTTTGCACGTTTTTGGCGACGACGTGTTTTGATTTCGACGACGTTTATTTTTCGTTAACGAATTTGTGTTTGTTGGCCGCGCAAAGATCCCTTCAAACATAAATCGAGAACCATTGATCAACAAACACAAATTCGTTAACGAAAAATAAACGTCGTCGAAATCAAAACACGCCGTCGCCAAAAAACGTGCAAACTCAGCCAGTGGTGATTCAAAAATGTTGACATCGACAATTCAGTCAAAGAACGACCGACAAACAATGGCTTCACTCGCACTGTGCCCAAATTCTTTTTGTCTCTTCAGAAAAATAGAGGACCCACCCACCCACACCTTGAAAGAAAATGTTGCAGATGCAACATAAATTGAGTGAGGTGTTCTCGAAAAAACATTGATATGCAAACGGACAAAAGACATCCGTCACAAAAAAGAACATGACAAGTTGCAAACTGAAAATTTCACAACAGTTGCATGAGACAAAACACAAATTAGAAACATGAAACTTGTTTCCATTTGTACGTTGATAAGTTGACAGTTTGCTCCAGTGAATGCAGTACAACGCGTGAGGCGCGAGGAGCGAGATAGGAGAGGAACGGTTCTAGATGTTAAGAGGGGCGCGGCGCACGCAGCTGTAGAGTACATCTACAACAGCTTAGACAACTGACCCTTACCAATAAGGCTATCATCTTTTTCAAAGCGTCTCAGCTTACTGTTTCATGTCAGTTGGAAGCGCCGCGCAAAGATCCCTTCAAACATAAATCGAGAACCATTGATGCTTCCAACTGACATGAAACAATAAGGGCAGCTTGTGCAGAAGTGGATGAGCAACAAATTTCCGCTCATGCTGGTGCTCATGGACTATCTGGCTTACCGCGAAAGCATTGGCGTGCGCTGCCACTTGGATTGGCACCCTCGAGATGTGAACATCGAAGCCGACCAGCTCACAAATGAAATTTTCAATTCTTTCAGCCCGGAGAACCGAGTCCACCTTTCCGATCAATTTGCTGGCGAACTTCGCCGAAAATTTCTCTAAGAGAAAACTTGAAGCCTCCGAGATGAAGCAAAATGGAGAGAGAGCCAAGTTTGTGATTTTTTTTTAAGGGGATGAACCGTCCGTTTCAACTGGGGATTTTAGCTCCCATCTCATCCCTGCTGCATGGCTACGGATTCTTTTACGAATGTTTCTTTAGCATTGGATGTTTTAACGCGTCCGTCTTGACTTTGACATGGCACCTCTCCATCTTAGCGGTTAAAAAGGCCGCCTTGCGTGAGTGAAGCGTCTGGATTATCATTTCTCTGATGCAGTCATGTTGTCTTGACAGTTGGATTTTAGTTCATGTGTATTCAAGCGCCTTTGCGCACTATAGGTTTAAAGGAAACAAGACCCAGTTGGGAAGAGAAACGTACCAACGGGGTTGTTGCCCAGAAACCTTTGGTGGGTGGGTGGGTTGTTACACTCACCCATCCTTATTGACCACGAACCGTTTTGTACAGAATTGTATAAATTTCTACGCACAAAATCGTACGTAGACCGACGGTGTAAAAGCACTACTTTTGTGCATGAACATTTGCACTGTGCAGCATGCCGCGATTGGCCTGTGAACATTTGAGGCACAAGGGTTATCCTAAGGTGAAAACAGCACTTTGCGTTTCATGCCATGTTGGCTTTGCACTTTTAGCACTTTGACATTGGTGCCGCGGAGCAGTTCAGGTTGAGATCTAGGGCTGTGCCATGAGCGCCTGGCGACCAACCTGTGCCAGGCCTGGAGCTCCAACTACGACGGCTACTACGAGCACCTCATCTCGCTGGGATGGTGGAAACTCGGCTTGGGCATGGAGTGCCGCTGTGCGAGAAGAGGACGGCTGGGCTGATGGGTGTGAGTTAGATGGAGCTGGGGCTGGCGATGGGAGCCAACGTGACCCTTGGTGGGAACAGCATGTTGCTGACCCGTGGTCGGCGAATGGGACTAGTGATGGTAGCGGGGAGATGAACAAGAAGTATGGCCAGTTCAACTATGATGGATGGTTGGATGATGAACAAATGAGGATGTTTAATGTGGCGCAGGTGGAAAAGACCACTGCGGCTTCTCATGGAAGGTGGCAAGGTGATCAGGTGGCTCATGGCGTAGGAAGTTGGAATGAAAGTTGGTCGAACTATGATGCAGAAAAAGACAGAGGGAAACCAACTGAGAAGCTGGTTGTGCCAGAGTTTGATGGAGAAGGAGGAAGTGACCATGATCTTGGCAGATCGGCGAGGTCGTACCTGAGAAAAATCCAGGTTTGGCTGAGATGCACGAAGTTGCCAGCGCACCAACGTGCGCTGGCCCTTTACAATGGCCTCAGCGGTAAAGCATGGATATACGCTGAGGAGCTTGATGTGGACAAGCTTGCGACAGAGAACGGGGTCTCCTACTTTTTGCAGTGAGTTCAGACCCGCTTCATGGAGGTCGAAGTTTCAAAGGTGGCACAAATCATGACTGACCTCTTCAAGCGAGGGAGACGGCGCAGTGACCAGACGGTCAGAGACTTCAATGTGGAGTTTGAGAGAATGGTGCTGCGTTTGACAGAGATACAATGCCATGTCCCTCCACTCATCAAGGCATGGTTGTACCTGGACAAGCTGCGACTTAATGAGCAGGAGGAACTGGCGCTCTTGTCAAGCGTCAACAACGAGTATGACTGCAAGAAGCTGCAACACGCGGCTTTGGTGCAAGATCGGGCCATTCGACGGCCGGGAGCTTGGGGAGGTGAAGATGCAAAAGGAGTTGGCAAGCGCTGGACGAGGCAGAGTGTTCACATGACTACCAATGAAGGTGGTGAGCTGTCCAGCGAGGATGAGAAAGGAGATGGCGACTCGGATGATGGCGAGATTGTCGATGAAGACACTGCTGTGGAGCACTACACAGCCTACATGACGTACCAGGGGGCCAAGGCAAAATACAAGGAAGTCTTGAAGGGCCGAGGTGTCGACCAACATGCGGTGGACAAGAGGAACCAAGAACGTTTGAGGCTGGCGAAACAGAGGAGCTACTGCAGTGCCTGCAAACGCAGGGGGCACTGGCATAAGGACCCTGAGTGCCCATTGAGACAGAGGCCTTCCACGGGTACCACCAGTGCCGCGGGAGCTGAGACTGTGCAGTCGGTAAACTTTGTGCACCAGTGCTTTGTGACGGACTCCGGTGTTCAGGCCTTGGACGAGCCCTACATGACTGACTATGAATTGGTGGTATCTCCTTGCCTATGCCTTCGGCAATTGCCTTCTGCAATGACTGAGTATGACATGGGCGCATCCCCTGGTCTTTGTCTTTGGCAATTGCTCCTGGCAATCCCTTAGTATGACGTGGGCGTCTCCTGCGGTGGTGGTCGTCGGCGACAGCCTTCCGCGATCAAGGAGTTTGACATCGGCACATCCCCTTGTGTATGTGTTCGGCAATTGTCCCCTGCATCTTCATGCTTCATGACTGAGGAGTGCAATGGTGAGGACTTCATCATGGACAGCGAGAAGGGCATCCAGCACGGGCCCCAGGACGACAAGCTCCTGGCAATCATCGACACGGCTTGCACCAAAACCGTGGCTGGATACGCTTGGTTTGAGAAGTACGTCCAGGTCGCATATAGGGCTCCCTGTACAGACCTTGGATGAAAATGAACATTTCAAATTTGGAGCATCCAAAGTTTACAGATCAATGTTTTCTGTGAAGGCATGGTTTGCAATTCATGGCAAGCAGTTTGGGGTCAGGGTTTCAATTGTCCCCTGCAACGTGCCTCTTTTGTTCAGTAGACCCGTGCTGGGAAGTTTCTACGACGTTGCGAAGCAACAGGTTGGATTGTCTTCGTTGAACCTTCAGGAGTTGCCACTTCTGACAAGCCCCACGGGGCATCCAGCACTTTTGGTCTCTGATTTTGGCAAGAACCCATTGCTGGAAGAGTTGCCGGAGTTTTCACCCGAAGCCGTGCACATTCCAGCGCTCGAAGCATACATGAGTGCGAGCCAGCCTTCTTTCAAGCCATTATTTTTTCCAAAGAAGTTATCGAGAGAAATTCAATTATTGCTGGAATCACAACATGCCTTGAGTGGAGCAAGTTTTGTAGGATGGTGGAAGTCAGCAAATCAATCACGTGATTTTTGGTTGGAGACGGAAGATGAGTTCATACGCATACATGTTGTCCCACGCAAACATTTCTTCAATCCAGCTGCATGGAACACAAGTTTGGAATCAATCAAGTGCCAGCTGGTCGAGAAGTTGGAAGGGCATCGAATCACCGAGCACATACCATGTCTTGGAGATGGAGTTTTGTCATCAACATGCGAAGACACAACATATCAGAACACCAACATTCCACAGAACATGATCTACCCATGGATTGGCCGCAGTCGTTTTCGCAAGCTCAAGACTGCGATCAACGGCACAGCCGGCCCTGACGAACCTCTCGTTGCTGTCGATGCCGAGCAGCGGAACGTCACCATGGGCAATGGGGAAATGGGAGCTGGCAGAGGCTCTCGAGATGCGTGGTGTGACCGTCCATCCCAATTGGTCGGTCCCGGAGCTCAGGTCCATTCTCCTGGAGCAACTGGAGTTGGAGAAGCCGGCAAAGAACGAGAACTCAATGAAGGGGCTGACGAAGCTCAGCCTGGCAGAGCTCATTGCGGAGGCGGAGAAACTGCAGATCACTATGCCTCCGAAACCCACACGTGGCCTGCTGATGAGGATGATCCGGGACACCAAGACCACTCCTGCACAGACCCTGGTGACCTTTGGCAAGTTCAAAGGATGGATGTACCAGGAGATCCCCTTGGGCTATCTCCAGTGGAGTGTGCAGGAGACTCGTGCGAATCAGAACTCGCACCCCGACCTGGTCCGTCTGGCAGCATGGGCACAGGGGGAGATCGAGCGCCGGGAGAAGGCGACAAGCAGTGGCACCCAAGTGCAGAAGGACCCGGAGGCCACGGCAGTGATTCCACCTCCCCGCCTGAAGGCTATGGGCGGCAAAGCGACTCCTCGGACACATCGTGGAGCAGGGTCGCAAGTTCCTGCCAAAAGTCTCGGGTTCGGCGTGGTCCGGAAGTGATCAGCGACAGCGACATCGACGAGGAGACGGAGGATGCCAACCTCACCATCAAGAAGTTGGAGGATCGTTTGGCGGCCCTCAAGAAACGGGGCGCCAATTGAAACATGGTGGAGGGAAAGATGGCCAATCCCCGGGTGGCGTCACCGGTGATGTGGCGGAGATCAAAGACGTCGCGGGTGCCAACACCACTGGGTCTGAGAACTATGAGGTAAAGTATGACTCAAACAACTTGGACGCTCCGGATGAGTTCCAGGCTTTTGAGAATAAAGACACGATCGGGCTTAGCAGATCTGGTGGGGAGACTGAGTATAATCACTTCAACTTCGACGCTCCGGATGAGAATGAAGCTTTTGTGAATGACATCAAGAGCAATGAAGTCACGGGTGACTTGTGGAGTGAGTCACCCAGGACAAGGGCAGGCATGCGACGGAGGAGACTGGCAAATCGGTCTGTGGCGCAAAAGCTGCGGGCGGAGGTCTATGGTCTCTTCGAGGTGATGTTGGCATGCACACTCATGGCAGGGAGTCTGACTCGGGAGATCATCGAGGACCCACTTTGGGAAGCATGGGCGGTGCTTCAGCCCAGACACCATGTGAAAGCACGAGAAGCCAAGACAGACTGCCTTGAGCTTTTTGCTGGTGAGGCCAGGATTTCTGGCGCCTACGCTCGACGAAAACGAGCGGTGTTGCAACCTCGTGATGTGAGGTACAATCACGATCTTCGTCGTGGGCATGACCAAGAGGAAGTCCTTGAGGATATCCTGCACCATAGGCCACGGCTGGTCTGGGTTGCCCCTCCGTGTACAGTTTGGTGAAAATTTTTTCATTTGAATCATAGCAAACAAGAGCTACGGCGACTGAGACAAAAGGAGTCCAAACTCGTGAAGTTCACTAGCAGAGTTTTTGAGCTGCAAAGTGGACTCGGTGGCATAGCTGTGATTGAAAATCCCCGTGGGAGTGACTTGTGGCGGCACCCGGAGCTACAGCGCTTCTTGGGTGAGCGGGCATGCTTTGCTGATGTAGATCTTTGCACTTTTGGGCTGCGCAGCTTGCAAGATGGCAGGCCTTTGCGCAAGCCCTTGGCCTTGATGACCAATGATCAGGCCTTCGCTGATGAAATTTCCCAGCGGTGCCAAGATCCATCACATGATCACCGACCCATTCAAGGCAGAGACACCGCATGGACAGCAGTATACCCAACCGCATTTGCCTCAGCTGTGGTCCACGCGGTTGACAAAGCTTGGACACGTCCGAAGGAACTCTATGTCCAGTATCCGATGGACCTTGTTCCGGCGGAAGATTCCAGAAATGATCCCAACAAGGCAGAAGAGATTGAAGAGTGGGCAGAGGAACCTATAGGAGCCAATGCCATCTCCTTCAAAGGCAAAGTGAATCCCAAGGTTGCAGCAGTCCTGAAGCGAGTCCACCAGAACCTTGGCCATCCTCCCAACCGTGACCTCATTCGCCACTTACGAGTAGGTGGCGCTCCAGAGAATGTGGTTCGGGCGGCTGAGCAAATGGTGTGCCGCACATGTGAGCGCAGTGGGAGGCCACCTTCTTCTCGGGTGGCACAACCATGCACTGCGCTGGACTTCAATGAGGCCATTGCCGCAGATGTGATCTGGCTGGACATGGCGGATGCCAAGAACAAGCCAGCGCTGAACATTGTGGACCTGGCATCAACTTACCAGGTTGTGGTGCCCGTTGAGAGTACCAAGTCGGAGGAGCTTGGCAGAGCCATGTTGGAGGGATGGATCAACTGGGCAGGCGCTCCAAAGCACTTGCTGGTGGACCTGGACCCTGGCTTCCGAGACCAGTTCCTACAACTGATGGACAGCCGATCCATCACGGTGAGATGCGCTGCTGGCCAAGCACATTGGCAAAATGGAGTCTGCGAAAGGCATGGAGCTACATGGAAAGCGATATGGAAGAAATTGGTGGAGGACCTCACAGTTTTGGAGGATGAGTTTGCGGAAGCGGTAGCATGTACAAGTGATGCCAAAAACCAGCTCAGGAACAAGTCTGGTTATTCTCCCAGGCAGTGGGTGTTTGGCACACAAATGCGCATGCCAGGTGATCTCTTCGACAGTCACTTGGGCCCAGAGCAATTTGACAACATCACGGCCGATGAGAAGGTGAGCAGGTCACATGCAATCCGACTTGGCGCCCGGACAGCATTTTTCAGCTGTCAAACCAGAGATGCACTGCAACGAGCTTCTCAACACAAAGCCCGAGTCGACAAAGCTGACTATGACGCCGGTGACCTGGTTTACATCTATCGTGAACTCCGGCAAAGAAAAGGGAAAAAGAGCGGGAGCGCTTGGATTGGACCAGGCACTGTCATTGGACGTGAAGGACACAATTTCTGGGTAGCGCGTGGTGGGAGGTGCCTTCTTGCTGCACCAGAACATTTGCGCATTGCCCATCACGAAGAGATCTCCGAGATGATCAGACTCAAAACATCCATGAAGGAATTGCGCGAGGTCATCGACAAGGCAGACGATGACATCATCGACCAAGACTATGAAGGTGAGGATCACATAGCTGGCGGTTCTCTGCCAGCTGACATGGAATGGGAACAAGACCCGCCTGGGGTGGAGGAACAATTGGACATGGAGGTGGAAGAAGCTGGCAGTGCAATTGGACAAGCTCTTCGACGAGAAAGACAGTTGGAGGCCCATGCTCGACGTCGGCAAGCGTTGGACGACGTGCCCTTCAATTTGAAGAGACAACGAGGCCAACAAGCATTCATGGTCAAGCACGCCATCTCCGAGAAAGGGAAAGAAAAACAACTTGAAAAGGAACTCCCCTGGCAGCTCATACCGCCAGATGAAAGAGAGATGTATCGTGCAGCAGAACTGAAACAATGGGAAGAGCACGTCCAATTTGATGCTGTTCGTGCTTTGAGCGTTGAAGAAAGCATTGAAGTCATCAAGAAGGTCAAGCCGGAGCGCATCCTGAACTCACGATTCCTTTACAGGGACAAAAACTATGCAAAAAGAAAGGCTGATCCCAGCGTTCCTGCGAAGCCAAAAAAGCCAGGCTCTGCATTGCTGGTCAGAATGACCCTGATCTGGGCAAGGTAGACATGGTCACGGACGCACCAACGACGTCTAGACATTCTATTATCCTGGCTCTGCAGCTTGCGCTTTGCAGGTCATGGCTGGTCAGTGTGGGAGATATCCGAGCTGCATTTCTCAATGGCATTCAGGCACCCCGGGAGTTGTACTTCCGCCAACCAAAACGTGGCATCCCAGGACTTCGACCTGAACAAATCATCGAGGTACTCAAAGGGGTGTTTGGACTCAGCACAAGTCCAAAATTGTGGTGGATGAAACTTTCTGGCGACCTGAAAAAGATGAAGATCCACTTTGACGGCCACACCTTCCACATTGTGCAGAATGTCGTCGACCCTTGCGTATTTCAAATCATCCATGACAAAGAACAACGTGTGGCAGGGCTGCTCCTGACACACGTGGATGACTTGATGTTGATGGCCGAACCCAATTTGGCTCGGCATGTCCAAGGAAAACTCAAAGAGATGTTCCCGGTAGATGAATGGGAAGAAAACGACTTTGAGTATGTCGGTTGTGAATACCATTGCTTGGCGGACAAGATTGAGATCACTCAAAAGAATTACATTGGCAACCGAGTGGAGAAGGTCACCATTGGAGGGGGGCACAACGACACTGAGAGTGCCTCCGTGGAACAGGTGGAGGAGAATAGAACAGTGATAGGTTGCCTATCATGGTTGGCCAAACAAACCAGGCCAGACATTCAATTTCAAGTTTGCCAAGCACAGAGAAAGCAACGGTCTCCGACCATCCATGATTTGAAGCAGACCAACAAAGCCGTGACGGATGCTCTCCAGTTCAAAGATTGCGGGATCACTCTACGCAAAATCCCGGAAAACAACCTCTGCTTCATAGCTTTCCACGATGCGGCTTGGGGCAACACTGACCCTGACCATGCGGTTCCACAAGATGAAGAGTGGCTGGGCGGACATCAGGTGGCATCACAACTTGGGTCACTGATCCTCTTAGCTGATGAGAACTGCATGGGGCCCAACGGTGGGAATTTCAGCCTTGTAGACTGGAAGAGCAAAGCCTCACAGAGGGTGTGCCGTTCTACTTTTGCAGGCGAGACAATGGCCTGCTCAGAAGCGCTCGAAGGAGCACTCTTTTTGCGCGGGCTCTTTACATCCTTTGGGACTGGAGTTCGCGTTCCAGACCATCAAGGTGGAGCTTATCATCCGCTCCATCTCATCACCGATTGCAGAAGCCTCTATGATCACATTCATCGCGAAGGGATTCCCCGTGCTCCGAGTGAGAAAAGATTGGCGATTGACCTTGCAGGTCTGAGACAGGCCTTGGTGATTGAGGCCGAGCACCAGTGGCGCAAAAAGCACGGAGATCCATTTAAGCCTACTCCTGAAACTCCACTTCGACCTCCTTTGCACTGGCTTCCGACTCAAGAACAAATGGCTGATCTATTGACCAAGCGACTGAAGCCCGATGAGTGGTGGAGTAGGATTAACCAAGGATGGATGAGTCTTCCGCTGAAACAGCATGCACCAGGAAGACAAAATTTCCAGGATTTGGTACCAGTGTAAAAGCACTACTTTTGTGCATGAACATTTGCACTGTGCAGCATGCCGCGATTGGCCTGTGAACATTTGAGGCACAAGGGTTATCCTAAGGTGAAAACAGCACTTTGCGTTTCATGCCATGTTGGCTTTGCACTTTTAGCACTTTGACAGACGGGATTTGTACGTCCAGTTTTACCTGGGTATAAATTCGTTCCGTGCGGTTTCACCCGCTCGTTTATCGTTGCCAGCGTCACGTCGCAATTGCTCGTTTCAGCGTTCTTTCGACGTATGTCTTACGTTAAAGAATTTGGGTTTTACCCCATCAAACCAAACAACCGTTCTTCACGCAGTTTTGCTTTGCTTTGCTTTGTGAGTACATGATGTCAGTGATACATTGTTAGACAGTGATGTCTTGACATGTCAGTCATTATTTATGGATTTTACTTCACTGTTTCCTTCCTTGCAGCATGGTTGAGATTTCAAGCACCCGCCCTCTACCACCCTTGTGCCGTTTCTTTTATGAAACCGTTACTGCAATTTCATTTGGAGGGGGGTTTAAGCTCCCATCTCATCCCTGCTGCATGGCTACGGATTCTTTTACGAATGTTTCTTTGGCATTGGATGTTTTAACGCGTCCGTCTCGACTTTGAAATGGCATCTCTCCATCTTTGCGGTTGAAAAGGTTGCCTTGCGTGAGTGAAACGTCTGGATTATCATTTCTCTGATGCATGCGCGCAAAAATAAAGGCACATAGGCGTTTTTACACACAGAACCTTTTCCACAGAGAAACCTTTGCACAGAACAGTTTTTACACATGTTTTTTCTACACAAAAAACATTTGACACAGAAAAACTTGTACACACAGACTGCACACAAATTTTTTACAGACCCACTTTATTGCACGGGAAACTTTATCCAGAACAAAATTTACACAGCAGAACCTTTTTCGCACAGAAGCCTTTATACACAAAAACAAATACACTCAACATTTTTTACAGACAGACGGTTTTGACACGCAGAAAATTTTCCGCACAAAATTCTTACGCACAAAAGGTTTTACGCACAACATTTTTTACATACAGACGCTTTTACACACAGATGTCTTTACACCGACACAAATTGCACACAGAAACTTGTGCACACAGCACGCGTTTACATACAGCCACCTTTTGCACAGAGAGGCTTTGCTTCCCCTTCTTGATCACCCACCTTTCGTGTTCCCCCTCTCAAATTTTTATTTGTCGCAAACATTGGACTTTTAGGTATTGTTTTCGTGTGAATCCTGCAAAACTCCAATGCGGACATTGTTGGCAATTTTTGGTTTTCACACCGCATGTTCCAAAATTAAGGTATATAATTGGCAATTGGACTTTTGCTGTACTGTTGCTTGTATTCGAAATTATTGGACAAAATTTGTTGGCCAGGGCACGACCATTGAACAATTGCCCATGTGTTTGAACATTTTTGCGACCGGATTTGGCTCAAGGTTTGTGTAGAGATCGCAGGTTGCCCTCTTCAGTTGGCTCAGGAGGCCTTTTGCCTACCGTTGGAAACTTGGGACTACAAGTGGTATTCTCTCGACCATCAAAAAGTCTTCCTGTGGCCTTGTGATGGCAGGTGAACTCAAAAAAAACGCAGTACGCACTCATTTTACCTTCAATTTTTGAAATGACGCACGGACACATCAGTTTTTGCGTGTGCTTTGCCTTTCGGATTTTTTGGCGGAATTATCGAAACACCTTTTCACTACCCATGCCATGAACACCAAACATGTTGGTATGTTGGATGGAAGTGAATTTGACATGTCAAAAAACAATGCACTAGTTCCAATTTTTTTGTTCACTTGCCAATGCATGAGGTCAATCATGGCTGAATTGCCACTCACCCTGTGATGAACTGAGATCTCATGACCAGAGTTGGGATGTGTTTCTAATGTGGTAAACCAAATAATTTGTCAACCATCCCCAATATTACATAATTTTACCATAAACGGGTGGTAAAAATCATCCCAAATGGCAAATTTATTGCGGGGTTTTACCAGTTTACAACATTCCCGTGTTGGAAAATCACTGCACAGAAACTGACCATGACAAGACTGATGGTCAAGGAATACGACGATCGACTTGGCGAGCCAGGGCATCAATGCCCAGGCGGAAATTTGAAACATCGCAATTTAGTGGGTCAATATGAGTGAATGTGTCTGCTAATTGCATTTGCTTTCAAAAATTGGCCAATTGATCATTTTTTTGTGATATTTGGTGACTAATTTTCAGGCGTTCAAATTCAACAGCTTGACAATGGAGTCTCCAGCTCAGCTCATTGTCGTATGATTGACTACGGGGCATCAGGCTTTGTGGAACTCTTTCCGAGTTCGTTGAATTTTAAAACAGCGGTGTATGTATCCCCTTTACAGGATGAATACCAAATGATGTGAAATGAAACATATGAAATATATGAAACATATGAAACATATGAAACATGTCCATTTGTTTTCGTCGTCATGGCGAGAACGAGGTCCGACAAGTACATCAGTATCAAGGACACAGCTCCTGATGGAACCGCGCAGGCTCGTTGAGTCCATCTCTTGTGTTTCAGAGGGACGGTTGCTCTACGGCCAGGTGGTTGTGGTGGACATGCACAACAACAATGCGGTGAACAAGCGTCCTATGAAAGCGGAGGACTTGGGTTTGTTTATCCATTGGGTGCGATGCAGATTGTTGGAAAAGTAGAGTATCACCTCTTTTAATCTCTTTTACTCTTTTCAGAGAAACACATTTCTTGAAACTATGAAGATGTGATTTCACTACTTCGCCCATGACGCTTGTGCAAGACTCACGGTTCATTGTGGCTGGAAGAGCCAAACCGAGAGGAACACCTGGATTCCATGGTCCAAGGTTGACATGTGTTGTCGCTTGCTCCGTGCAGGCGACGCTGATGAACCCTCAGGACAATATCATTGCTCTCAAGGCAGTTTGCAGTCCATACAAATAGGCTCTCACAGGTCTCGGTGTTTTCAGGATTAGCAAGGATCACATTCATAAATGGCGATTATAATGCCAAGTCCATGAGTTTTCCTACAAAAGAAAGAAACACCTTCTAGAGTTCCAGACTTCCCTGCTGAAGCTTAGCAGACACCCCGGGACATTACCACCGGCCCAGGCAGCAACAGAAGGACAGCCTGGTCATTTCGTGCAGATCTTCAACCTCGACACCAAAGAGAAGTCTCTTGGAGACGATTGGTTTGGCGGTGAAAAAACCGTTAAAAAAACACCTTTGTAGTATTGGGATGATTATCATCATCTATGAACTTGGCCCAAGAAAAAGGAACCAGTATGTAACCAGTATGTAACGTGTGTATCTTCTGAGCGACCATTGGAGTCCATCGTGCTTTCTTGCTTTTCCATGTTATCGACTCAAACCGACTGAGGTTGGGAGTCTACCAGTGTCCGGAGCAGATTGCCTTTTGGCGCTGGTTGGCCCCAAGGATGCTGGCCCTGGTTTGCGCTCAGGACCGGCGCACCTTGAGAACCAAAAAACCGGGTTATTGCGGGTAATAAGCAACAATAATTGGCAATAACCATGGTTGATGGATGATTATAAGTGGTAACCAGCAATGGTGATCAGAAAACTTTGATCTTTGAATTCTTTGCAAACAGACAAGGTGAAGATATGGAGAGACAGTCGAGAATCGGGATGAGTTCAACACAGGTTGTTGCTGCTTTGTGTTAAAACCACCTGGCAAAAACTTTCGTGACATCGAGGGTTGCACTGTAGGCGTGTTCCCAACAAGATTTGGGCAGTAAGAATCAACCCTTTTTCCTTGCTACCCAGTACACCCAGTACCTACTCGACGGTTTGAGGTCACAGAAATCGTGAAAGGTCCTCAGTCATCCCAGTCATCCTAGTCATCCTAGTGCTCGTCTTGCTATTTTGATTGGAGTGCCTGCCTGTGCCAGGATGTCTATCATTGGAATCTTGCCACTGCCAATAGCCAGCCGGAGAAGATCTTCCAGCGTGCCGGCAAACTGGCAGAAAGCGGCACCCAGATCATCAACTACTCAGCCAACAGCCAGGCCACAGACTTGACATGACCTGATGGAAACCTGTAAATATAGATACATTATCTGAGATAGATACATGAATTGGATTGAATAGATGAAGGAAGGATAGTGAAACTTGAGTTGGATCTAGTTCGGTTTTACCACTGAGCTATGGCTAGCTACTCAGTACTGCTCAGTGCTGCGATGGTGTGGATGCGAAGATCAGACGTGCATCTATTGTTTCCCGTGCTCTGGCAGGTGTCTTGGTGCCTCCTCACTGGTATTTCATCTCAGGAGAGTGCAGCTGCAGCTGAAAACAAATTATGGTATACCCTCCGGTAATCAGACATAGCAGTGGACAATTTCACATCCATCATGTCATGTATAGATGATTATGTTTTTTCCATTAAGACCTCCATTTGTATGATAAGTCGGATGGTGTAAAGATTAAAGGGGATGTCCCAATGGCCATGGATTGCCGAAGGGTACCGCTAGTGGTGAGGTGCAACGCCTCAACCATTTTCTCAGGACCAAGGGAGGACCATTGATGGCAACATGCAGCTTTACAGCCCTCAGCTTATGAAAAGACCAATGCTGCGAAGCTGAAACTGAGAAACTCTTTTAACTACCTTAAGGATTGTACTCCACAACTGTCACAACAGAGGAATGTTGAAATTAGAATTGGACACACCGCCAGACCAAACAATGGCTTGACAAGGTGTAGAGAGGAAGCAGCAGCAGTTGCTTGAAGGGCATGCAGGTTCGGACTCCCATTGGAAGTCAAATTCTTCAATTAGATCCACAAGAGCCCTTGAAAGAGGCGTGCAGGCCATAGTAGACCATAACAGGCCTTGTGATGCGTTGACAAGCTTGTCAATGTCATGTAGAACCTTGAAGAGATTTCAAGGATGTACTGGACTGATCTGGACTGCAGATGTTTGGTGCCCTGTCAGGATGCTTCGGTAATGTCTACGTCGACGATGGTGGTGTCAGATGCGGAGTTTTTGCCTTCCAGGAACGAAAGGCGTGGCCAAGCGGCTGATAATATCTACCTCAATTTCTCTCACGGAATGATGTGAATTAAAGTCTTTTCTCAGGATTTGCAAAGTCCAGTTGCACCCTGTGATTCCAATGTTCCAATTTTTTTCACCATAATTCACTTGTTGCGCAGGTTGGACAGACCGCCACAAAACTGCACATCATGGACATCTTGAAGAACCGTGGTGAGTCCGCGACACCCTTCAAGGTCCAGCAGGAGATCGCCATGCCACCAGAAGCACCAACCGACTTCGCGGTTGGTCTGCACCTCAGTGAGAAGCACGGAGTGGTCTTTATGATCACGAAGGCAAGGTGGGGATAGGTGGGGGGGGCTCAGGCCATTGGGCCACTGGCTAAGGTTTTTCAGACTTTTGTTGCAACCTGACTGGATCAGCAATGCTTGGAACTTCAAACTGATTGGACATTCATTTAAAGCAACAATGCAACCTGACCGTCGAGTCTTTGAAAGATGGGGTGTTTGAGAAGCACCATCCACGAGCTAGAATCCTGGAAGAACTTTTCCGCAATGTCCCCTGTCTTGAAACCTCTGTTTGTTCAAGCCAGGCCGGATTCCTTTTCATGTTCGACATTGGAACCGGCACGATGCTGGTGCGCTCTAGGGTCTCTCAGGAGAGGGATCTCTCATGGATTAGCAAGAACAGGCTTCACACATTTGTAAGATTCAAGATTGCTGTTTGGAGCTGTGTTTTTCCAATGAAACTGTCATCAACTGTCCACATTAGGAGACAGTCTTCATCACCGTTGGCAGCGCACTGACCGGCGGCATCATCTTCGTGAACAAGCGGGGTGCAGTGATGAGTGCTAAGGCCTGGGGCCCGGGACGGCCCGGGACGTCGCGGGCAGTTCTTGCTCCGAAACATGGCACTAGTCGAGTTCGACGTACCATGACGTACCTCAGGTCAATGAGACAGCGATCGTCAATTACATTATGAACCAGCTGGTGCAGATTCCAAACCGCCAGGACGAAAGATGTACAGAAAAATCACAAGTGATGTGTAAGACAGGGATGTGTTCGGGGATTTGTGCAAGGTCTGGTGTCAAATTTCCAGTCAAGTCTCGAAATGTCATGGTCATTCTCCAAGAAAAAATTGCCAGAGAAATTGAGTTTCTGGGATGTCTTGAAGGGTTTTCCGGGTCAAGCTTGGACTTCCTCAGGTCACAAGAACTTCAAGCAAAGGACCAAATAAAAGTAGAGCTTTCAGCTCTTAGGCGCTTGATCTATATCCAAGACTACTATTTTTTTGCTGAGTAGAATTTTCTTCCTGTTGTCTCAGATTTCGTGCAACTTTATTCCTGCTTCTGAGGGAAAACACATGGAATAACATAGATAAATAAATCTTGGAGGTTTTGCAGCTTAGGGCTGCATGAATGCTGTGAAGTGGGCCAGCGACCACGATGCGTCATTGCGTCCAGGACATTGCCTTCACCATGGCAAGACGTTTTGGTTTGCCCGGTGCTGATGAGTTGTTTCAACGCCAATTCAATCAGCTCTTTGCCTCCGGCGACTACAAGGGTGTGGCGCTCAGTCACGGCAGCTGGGCGTTTGGGTCCTATTCCTTCGTCTGTATCATTGATTGTGTCGATAGATGTCGATAGGGGGAACTGTAGGAGACTCATGGAGACTCTAGATGGAGATGATGAAACAGCATTTGCAAAGATCAAACTGCTGTTTTCCCAAGGTGCTGCTCTCATTGCAGCCCAGTGCAAGAGCGGTCTGTTGCGCACCCCACAGACCATTCAGCAGTTCAAGAGTGTGCAGGCACCCCCAGGACAGTTTTGGCCTCAGCCCGGCAGTCGCATGAGTCGCAGTCGCATGAGTCGCACAGTCGCTGAAATGGCTGGTGTTTAAGGTCCTCGCCCATCCTGCACTATTTCTCCACTTTGTTGGAACACAACAAGCTCAATGCCCTTGAGTCTGTGGAGTTGGTTCGGCCTGTTGTGCAGCAAGGCAAGGTATAGAGAGATCTCATTAAGGCTCCTGGCACAAACTTTGACATATTTCAGCATGCTCAACATATCTCAACATCATTCATCGGATCTATCGGATGTATCGCAAAAGAATGAATTCTTGTGAGGCCGGCGTGAACTCATTGAGAAGTGGCTGAAGGAAGACAAGTTGGAGTGCACTGAGGAGCTGGGTGACATCGTGCGACCTTTGGAGACGAAGTGCCTTGGAGCGCACCGGGGATTTTCATCGATACAACTGATGTCTTTTCTTCTCATTCCAGAATCTGAGGCACAGGTACCTTTGGCCTCAATACTGAATACCTTCAAAGGTGCAGATAAGTGAACTTTAAAGCAAACAGATCCACTACGTACTCTATTTACACGTGTCAAACACCGGACGTTTCAATAGCTCTCTTTCACTTCGCACCATTTCCTCTCACTTCCGTCCGAGTGCTCCCTGTGCTGGCCAGAACTTGCCGCTGAAGCTACCTTCAAAGTCTGCCGACATCAACTCTCCCTGGCCATCTTTCCCACCCAAGAACAATACACACTTTATCATTGCATTCGAACAGTACTTTACAAGCATAGGAATTGGTACAACACTGCCCAGTTTAATCTCCTTTGACCAGTTGCAGAAGAGCGTGATTTATGGAGACTTCTTCTCGCCAAGGTTAAATAAGCATAAATAAGCAACATGCTGAAGGATTGCTGCTGCTTCTGCTGCTGCTGCTGCCGCTGCCGCTGCTGCTGCTGGTGCTGACGTGTAGTTAAACTGTTGAGCTACAAATCGCTTGGGAGACGCGAGTTCTGATCTCCTGTTATGTGAGCAATATGTATGAAGACCATTGCAGACCCATAATGCATCCACTTCGTCCATCCACATCCACATCCATCCACCTCGATGAATCCATCGACCCCATCCATCCATCCTACATCCATCCATGGTTGGAGAAACAACCGCATAAACAACCCGCCGGACCGGAAACCGTGCCCGTAAAACGCACGGTTTTTTTTAAAAATGGTGATTTTACCACAGTGCCGTGCTGATTTGATTATTGGAAATTCTGGAAAAACTTGGGGCGCGTTTTTTGGCGTTTCAGCGTCATCGCTGCAACGCATGCACCGTTATCAGCTGGCAGTCAGCATTCTTGCGAATGCATCTCCATTGCATTACTGTAAATATTAGAATCCCCAATATGTCGGAACCCAAATAATGCATGCCAGGTCCCTGAGTCGCGAACCTGCAGCACACAGAATGAGCAACCCAGCAAGACATTATTCACATATATACTATCATCAAAATGTGATTATGTAAGCGGACCGAAAACCTATGCGTCACTACCGCACCTAAACCCATACGCAGCGTAGCAACATGTAACGCAGTAAACGATCCCAGAGATCTCAGCAGCGTAGCAACATGTCACGTAGTAAACGATCCCAGAGATCTCAGCAGCGTAGCAGCATGTCACGTAGTAAACGATCCCAGAGATCTCAGCAGCGTAGCAACATGTCACGTAGCAAACGATCCCAGAGATCTCAGCAGCATGGCAATATATCATGTACGAAGTACCCCCACCCCACTCCACCCCACCCCACAATCGCGATATTCAAAAACGTGCCTTTTATGGGAACGGTTTTCGGTCCGTAGGCATAAACAAGTTAAACAAATAAACAGATAGAAAGATACGAAGATGGTGGGACACATGTTTTTTTCTGTGCATACATAATGATTATACACAATTACATAAAATCATATTATATATACAAACATGACACACACACATATATATATATATACATATACATACATACATACATACATACATACATACATACATACATACATACATACATACATACATACATACATACATACATACATACATACATACATACATACATACATACATACATACATACATACATACATACATACATACATACATACATACATACATACATACATACATACATACATACATACATACATACATACATACATACATACATACATACATACATACATACATACATACATACATATGTACCACACACCCATTTCTCAAGCTCCCTCTCGCTCTCTTCATGCACCAACGAGTATAAACTATGTGTTCGGGGATGGATGCTACGAATGCTTATTAATGAGTATCAGTATCCCCATATATGAACGGTAGGAATCTGCCCTGTTGCGCATCAGAGTATGTTATACTCAAGCACTTATGGGAACTCGATTGAGCTAGCATCCACCTGGCCCAAAATTTCCTGGTATTTTGTGTTTTGTTTGTGGTTTGTAGTAGGTATATCAGTATATATCTATCTATTTTTCAATTTGAGAATCGAATCTATCGCATCTTGCCAAGGTTCGCCCTCTCCATCTACCTGAGGGCTCAGATTCATCAGAAGGTGATCCAATGCTTCGTCGAGCTGGGGCAGATTGATCAGATTGTGGCATACGTGGGAAATCCTAGCTGACAGCTTCGCTGATGTTGCGTCGCTAGATGTTGAGTTGTTGGATTTCAAGGGAAAAGGATGGAAATGGGGTTATTGAATAGGTTTGACCCAGTAGAGGAGATTATGTTGGTGGTTGCCATGGTTCGCAAAAAAATTCTCAGGAGTTCAGTTCTTAAGTGCTGCTGGTGTGGGTAGGCAATTACAAACATTTGACAGATAAGAACTGAATTTCCCACTCCTGAGCATCTCTAGTGATTCTATTGTAGCCTTTGCAAAATAGTACTTTCAAAGGGCGGTTCTGTTCAAGCTGTTTCAAGTTGAACCGAGGTGAAGAGAGTTGGATATCAGGCTGATTACACGCAGCTCCTTCAGAACATGGCAAGATCCTCAGGGGGAGTCGGAAACATTCAGGGGCTAAAACGGGTAACCTAATTTGGTAACCTCAGGTTGCCACAAATCCAGAGGGTGCCACCAACTTCGCAAAGAGTCTCTTGGAGGTGGGCAGAATGGGCGCATGGCAGAGCTGTAGTAAGACAAGAATGGCTTGATGCCTTGTGTCCAGCTGTGTCCTTGAATTCTCATCCGGTCTTTTATGTCTTTTGGCAACTTGTTTATTGGCGAGTAGTATGTTTCACAGCTGGATTTTGCGGAATGCACAGCTGGAGTTCGTATTCAAGTTTGAATTTTAGAGGTAAAGTTGGGGGTTGCAGAAGCATTGCAGAGGACTGGACTGTTTTGGTTTGGCTATTAAGCCCCGAGCCCAGGGCCAAAATGGTGTGCCGCTCATCGACATCAATCAGGCAAGCTTCACGTCAAGCTAGTGCACATGCTTTATGTTTTTTCCATTGTTTCCCATTTCCCATTTCGAGTCACCTTCGCATTGCATGATTTTGTAAAGGATGTGAAGATACATGAAGCATGTTTCTCTTGGGACAAGGCGGCCCCATCTGCAGAGAACGTGGCAGTGCTTCAGGTGGTGAAGGTCTTCATGGACCAGAACCGCCTGCAGGAAACGACTTCCATCTTGCTGGACGCTCTCAAGGTGTGATCCTTTTCATTTCAAGATTTGGTGGCTTAAATTAACTTAAAGTCACATGCCCGCTGACACCTGTGTAGGCGAACAAGCCGGACCAAGCCCACTTGCAGGCGAGAAAAACACACGTGATCATTTGGGGTCACATCATGTACAGATGCTACCTGTCTATGTGAAGCACCTTCGCTCTTTTTTTGTTCTCCACGTTTTTGTTCCGTCTTCGTGTCTTTCAAGTGTTTGATCCAGAATACTTAGATTGCTTACCTTCAAATGCCAAGCCAGGAGGCAATTTTTGTTCCGTACCGACCAAAGACAGGTCAGACATGATTCGACTGTAATGTTCGCCATGTCAGTTCAACGCACCTTGTTGATGTTTCAACAATTTGGATACCTAGAACACGCCTACATTCTTTGGAAATGCGTGTCATCCGCACATTATTTCCAGCTTCCTGTGTAAATCCAATCGCCGCGCAGCCGCTCTGCCAGACGCAACTACTGGCTATGAACTTGCAGCAAGCACCAAAGGTTGCCGAGGCAATCCTTCAAATGTTCGGGGGACCCAGACCTGGAAAGGGAGGCAATCCTGGGGCGTATCATTCTGCAGAAGTGCTGGAGAAAGCACTGTACAAAAGCATGATCACTCAATTTGAAGCTTCACAAGGTGTCTTTTGTGAGGACTTTATCAGCTTGGTGTGTCAGTTTATAGCTCGAACAGATTTTCCCTCCCTCTTGGTGCTTTGCCCTTTTGCGCTTGGAAAGATCGTCTTCTTGTTGCCATGATTCTTTAGCTTCGACAGGAACATGTTCACCCACTATGACCGGGCATACATTGGCCAGCTGTGTGAGAAAGCTGGCCTCATGCAGTGGGTGAGGATCTCAGGTTGACATTGGCACCAAACTTTACTACTGATAAATAAAAGAACAGAGAATAATTCAACATGTTCATCAAAAGTTTTCCGTGCGTCTTTTATTCCATTGCAAACATCCTTGCAAAATGGTTGACGACAAGTAGTCGAACTCGGCCGTACAGCTGGTTCGTGAGCCAAGTTGCCACCTAAGGCCATGGAGCACTACACTGACGGGACTGACTTGAAGCGAGTGATGTCATTGCCTTATAGCCATTGCTTTCCCGTCTAATACACTTGCTTCAGGTAATTCAGTGCAGACTCCTTTGCGGTGTGCATTTTGCCAGCCTGAGGATGCACGCACATCAGATGACGCCAGAGTTCTTGTGCCTTGGATGCATATCATGTTCAAGTCAATGAAGATCCGTTTTGTGCGTTTTGTGTCCTTGGATGTGCTTAAGAAGAACCGTTCTGTTTGGCCATTGGGCCAATGGTTGTGATCTCGTTGCAGGATCCAGTACTTCTCCCGCTTGTCACCTGAGACGGCTGAGGGCTTAGAGCGGCTTAGAGCGGCTTAGCACTGCACAGGCTGCACGCCCCTGGTTTCAGCGAGTGATCCTCTGAGGCGCTCGAATGCCTCACCGATCTCATGCGCCACAACCGACAAAACTTGCAGGTTGCAGTGAAGGCGAGAGATTGAACATCACAATTTTCTGAGAGTTTTTCCAAGACTATTTGATTAGCACCTGGTTGGTTTGTGGTATAAAGTAGAAAGTGTGCAAATCACCACTTTGATGCCTATCTTGATTGCGATGACACAATAGAGAATTGGCAGATTTTCACGCAGTAACCCAAGTGAAGACGAGCCATCGATGGCAGATTGTGATGTTTGGCAGGTTGCTATCCAGTATCACGAGCAGATTGGGGCGGTGAAGATCGTGGACATGTTTGAAAGCTTTGGCTCCAATGAAGGTGGGAAATAAAGTCAAGAAAAGCTGCGTGATGCAAACTTGTTTGGCATGTTTCTGTCTGAAGGTATGTGATTGCAGATATCCAAGGTCTGGAATGTAGACAAACGTGGGTAGAAGTATAACATACATAGTATTCTCATGTATTCTCCGAATGTACCTTGTGCAACTTTGCGTGTTGACATGCCTTTGTGTGAAACCCACAGAATGAAGGACATGGTTTGCTGCATGACCAGGAATATTCTACTTCCTCGGTGCGATTTTGAACACCAGCCCGGCACTGAAAGTCTGATATATATATATATAAATTATATATACATATTTTTTCTGGAACCATGACCACTGGTTGACAATAATCTATGAGTCGAATCCACGGTCCAATCGACGCGAGTCGGCAAGTCGCACTTGCCACTCGTCTATCGACCTATGACTGACTTCAGCGATTGAGGCACCGATCCTGACGTGCATTTCAAATATATCCAGGCTTTGGAGATCTGTTGCAACCAACCTCTAAACCATCCGTCAACGTATGTGCAATCTCTTCGTTATCCAAAAAATGGCTACGTTTAAACACTCAGAACTATCAAACATCGCTGTTGTTGAGTTGCCAAATGTATTGGACCATGTGCAATCTGCTCAATCACCATTTCCTACCAAACTAGACTGGCACCTGAAAGCCAGGTCTACATTCATATCGCGCAAATCTGATCAAATGGATCAAGGAAAGATGACATGACCCGGTCGAACTCGAGTTTTTGCCAGGCAGCAAGCCGAGTTGGCAACATGCAGGAGGTGTGGGAAACTTGTTGCCATACCATCCATTACCCCACTGGAATACCTTCAGCTTCCCTCGCAGTCTGAGAGTCTGGACGCAGGTGGAGCGTGTGTGCCGGGAGTCGCAAGTGTATGACCCGGCCCGGAGCTGAAGCTTCCGAGCACACGTGGAACCGTGGCGTAGCGTATCTCCACGATCCATCACGAATCTCCACGACCCGTGGCATGGCAATACCATGCAATACCTAGACTGCCGTGAAGAACTTCCTCAAAGAGGCGAAGTTGCTGCAATCTTAGTGCTCTGCTGTTGAGGTGCGAAGTTCTTGAAAAGCTGTTGTGTTGTTCAAGCTGTTCCTTTTGGGAACCTCTACCGACCAATGTACCTTCTGAACCACTTTTGACATGACATTCTTTTCACTTCGCTTGGGGATATTTTTTAGGCCGGACCCGCGGCCATTGATCTATGTGTGCGATCTGCACGATTTTGTGGAGGAGTCCACCGAAGTTATTTTCTTGTGGAAGAAGACAGAAGCCAAAGTTCAAAACGTGCGTGATGGTGTGGCGTGCAATACGTGCAGAATCATGAAATCATGAAGTTTCCGACTTGTGACCTGTGCAAATTCAATGTCAAAACCACGAGGAATCATAAGAACTGGTACAACCCCTGGACTTTTAGTTGGACTGATAGACTTTCACTAATATCACCTTGATCAGTTGATAAGGAGCTGACAGACTATCTCTACAAGAACTCCTTGATGAAGTACATTGAGGCTCGCAGTGGCTCTCGAGTTGATTTTACTCCATCAATTGATCCTGTGGTAGCTGTGATTTCTCTATCGTACTTTTCCTGTCTGTCCTTCGCAGTGTAAGAGTGGACATGGCAAGCCCAGCTCCTCGTCAGGTTTACGTCGTGAAGGTCAACCCACTGAAGTGCCCACAGGCTTGAAGCTAGTGGAGCTAGCTCCGGCACAAGCTCCAAAGGACAGCAACAAGAAATGCTGCAATCTGTTTCATGTACTAATTGCCGCGATCAAGATGCTCTAATGCTTCTTCCGCGATCAAAAGCCGATGCATTTACAAGAAGAAGAAGAAGACGAAGAAGACGAAGAAGAAGAAGAAGAAGAATAAGAAGAAGACGAAGACGAAGACGAAGAAGAAGAAGAAGAAGAAGAAGAAGGGGAATGAACACATTTAACCAAGGAGTTCGAGATGTTTGTTCTGTTGCGAAAACAAGACCTTGTTGCACATTCATTGCTTTGACTTGGCAGGTGATTGGAAGCCTCATCGACCTGGACTGCTCAGAGGATTTCATTAAGACTCTGCTGCAGAATGTTTGGAAACCCAAGACAGAGCGGCCGCAGCAGAATTTGATCTTTGACTCAATTTTTCTGCATATTTTTGGCTCATTCGTGGCTCCATGTGCTTTTTTCCCATGTGCTTTTTTCCCGCGTGGGAACGAACGCTGGTTGTGCACATGACGGTTGCTTCGCAACTGACTCCAGGTTTGGAATGGATGAAACTGTTCTTCTTTAACACCATGCATTTCAGAAGGCACTTATATATGTGTTTCCCAATGCACGGGTGGCAACGCCGAATAGAGCTGTTCCTTCACCAGTGGAGCAATTGGAACTGGAAGATCTGGAAGAGCCAGTTGCGAATGTCGACTTGTCGTACTTCTCGTACTGCCAGTACTGCCAATGAGAGGGGCTTGATGAATTTGCACAGCGCTTGCACACCCATCCACTCGCCCTCCGTATTCCCCCTCTTTGTTGTCTTCTGACTGTTCAGAGGTGTTTCATCTATGCTGATCACATGCCTGCGTATCTTGTTACATTGTAGAAAGCTTGCCAAAACCACCTTGATACTTTTTCGTCTCTGGAGTTGCAGCTTATCCTTGACCGACGGCCTAATTTCGAGTCTTCTTATAAATCTTCTTCTTCTTCTTCTTAGGTGGTGCCAAAAGACAGCTACTACGGCTTGGTGTCCATCCCACTTTGCCTTCAGATGCTGATGCTCCTTGAGGACAAACCACCGTGCCACAATGTGGCCCACATGACGCAAACCACTCTGAGCTTTGAGACTACTTCGGGTGCACAAAAAGGGGCACGCTGAACTCTCCGGGCCTTTCCAAACGCATTCCGTTTGGCATGCCATGCAGGGAGGGTTGCCAAGGCAATCACTATGTAATAGTTGCAACAGGGTAATGGACAGGATTTGCAGCTGACGTTGCTGCCGCTCCTGTTCACGTTTCTTTTCACCAAAAAGTTGTGACTATATAGCCCGGGTGCATCCTCCTTGCTGCATATTCAGTCATTCTGAGTTGATGTTTCTTGTGAGGGTCTGGCCTGAGTTTTATGTCGGCTGATTAGTCGGTCGTTGATGACTATGGAGTGAACAGAAAGCACATGGGCAATAATGACAAGAGCATACTGACATTGCACAAAGCAGTCGGGGAATTTGCACCCTACTCCTTGGAGCTAAGAATAACTAATTATTTGGAATTGAGATGTGAAGAGGTTGCGTTTTGGTTCGACTGAGTCAAGTGACTTTCTTGCTTGGCAAGATGTGGGTTCACCATCCTTCAAGACTTTGATCGAATTGTTTCATTTGCCAACAACGACTAATAAACCAGAATCCAGAATGTCGCCCAGGGGGCAAGTAGGGTGCTGTTGCAGAGAATCAAAAGTGTGCGCTGCTGTGATCTGAAGGTTTCTTGGAAAATGGTTGGAGAGAGAATGGGGATGGTCAACCTCCAACAATACAGGTAACTATACGTTATGTCACTATACCCACTACGGGGGAATCCCAATTGATGGTGTGGTATGGTACTGGGCACAGTACGTATATATAATCATAGCTATAGGGGTTGTATCCCAACTTATGGATGGTTATTATTGCCATGGTTACACCCCGCAACGACCCTAACCGCACCCCCATGCCAAGCACATTGAGCCTTTCTGGCAAGGTCCGAGCAGCATGTCCAGCTGAGCCTTTGGTGGAGCAGATCGAGAAGAGGTGCCATGCTTTCCCTCAGCAAAGTAAGACGTACAGGGAAAGGGCATAGGGCCTTAGGGCCTTCTTTACAATTGGATAGTTTGACCTTAAAACCAACACATGGTCCATGGCTCTTCAGCTCATTGAGCCGGGCAAGGACACTTTGATCAATGTGCTGGGAGCAAATCCACTAGCACAGTGCAAAGAAAAACACACTAGGCAACAGTTCGAAGGGTTTCCTCGATGTGGCAAGATTCGTAAGAGATCCGTATCTTGAAAATGTCTTTCTCTTTTGTGACCTCTCCCTCTATTGGCAGACTACACCCTGCTACAGGAATCGCCTTCGTTTGATCTTGCCATGGCTTGAAGCTCGTGTTGCCGAAGGAAATCAGGAGCCGCCGCGGTGCTTGAGTCTTTGTGTTTTCTTGAGCAGGCAGAATCAGGTAAAAAAGTGTCTGTGTGTATATCTCTGTAGACATGCATCCATGGATCCATGCATCCATGCATACATGCATGCATACACGCACATACGCATACACACACACAAACGTGCGTACATACAATGAGACATCGATACATACCATAGATACATAGATACATCAATCCATAATTTCATTCATGCATACACTGATACACTACATATTTATACATACAGATGCTACAAATCGGGCTTTGATAATGATAGCAGGGTGCTTCAATTGAAAAACAAGTCCCTTGCGTTGTAGCTGCTCTGAAGCTCAACCCTTTTCGCAGGATCCTCATTTGCACAATGCCATGGCAAAGTACACCGCTTAGTACTTTAAGCGTGGCAAGATATGCACAATGACATTGAGTGCTGACAAGCAATCAGTTGAAACAATATGCGTTTGTTAGATCCCATGAGTATCACGCTTAGGATTCTGATCGACACCAACCGCGAACCAGAGAACTTCTTGAAGACCAACGCTTTCTACGACTCCAAAATCGTGGGCAAGTGCCCGGGAGCAAAAGGTCCTTATGACCGCGTGGTTGTGAGATGACAGCATTTAGCATTCCTCGCAGGACCCGACTTTGAAACACATTTTGCCAGACATTCCGCAGACATTCGGACAGTGAAGGTACTGCGAGGATCGTGATCCTCACCTGGCATACACAGCCAAGCACCAAGCACGGCCGGCAGCGGATGTTACGGCGTGTTACGACATATTACAGCAACATCAGCAACGACAGTTGAGGCCTACAAGCGTGCCTGGGGTTCCTGCGATGAGGTGCCTTGCAAGTCAACAGAGTCAGCCCTAATCTGTTTTCAAATAATGCTCAACAAGATTTGTCAAAATCTCTTTAACTCAGGGTAGACACAAGTAGGCTCACTTCTTGTTCTCAGTCGTCCTGGGTCCTCTGACCCCATGGCATGTGACGTGTTACCACTGCTCAGCAATTGGTGGACGTGACCAACCGCAACGGCCTCTTCCGACTGCAAGCAAGGCCGCGGGTTCATGGCAGCATTTGTATCAATTGTATGAGAGCTTCGTGTGATTATTCGCAGCTCTTGGGATTGAAAGATTGATCGGAAGAGAGGCGCACATATCATACGCTGTACAAATAGACGTACATATAGACGTACATATAGATGTGCATAGACACATCCATATACATACCCATATACTTTCTTGATAATTAATTGCAAATGTTGTTAAAACATCGATTTTAGCCAACTTACACCACGGATACCTTTAGCCACATGCTCTATCTTCACTCGGTCAGAGCTAGAAGAAATCTTTGAAAGTAAGGAGTCTGGAAAGATGCATCAACTTATGGCCAAGATGACATTTTGTTCATCCTTTTCCTTTCCAATGCCTTCATTGTTCCGGTTTTGTTCGTTGAACAGCTCCAGCAAGGATGGCGCAGCCTTTTGATAGCTTTAGAGTTTAGAGTATTTTTCTTATTTTTTATTATATTCCAACATATTCCAACATTATCCAATAATTGTATTTGTGAGATTATCCTGAACAGCCTATTCTCTATCATTAAATGATATGCAATATCCGAGAATCTCTATCACTCATCCCTCATGGTACATCTCACAATTCAAACCTGCCAAAACTCCAAAGAGAAAACTCCACCAGGTATTTGGTGGAGCGCCAGAGCCCAGACCTCTGGGCCTTAGTCCTGACGCCTGACAACCAGGAGCCCCCGTGGGATGGGACAGTTCTGTGTGGCGAAAGATCTCCATACCAGGCATAGAATCCATAAAACATTCGTCAGGGAACAGGTCCATTTTCGTGAATGTTCGAGTTTCCGAGTTTCGTGCGTGTCAACTTATTGGAGTGTCTCACAGGCAAGCATTTGCTTTGTGCAGCGTTTTCTTTGAAGTCTGAGATCTCGAACAGGAATTGCTACTCGTGATGAGATTAATGTGATTTCGCTCCTGGGCAGTACCGTCGCAACGTCATTGATCAAGTGGTCAGCACTGCATTGCCGGAGTCCACGAACGCAGATGAGGCTATGGATGGGTCGTGGATGGGCCACGCATACTGTTTTGGGAGAGGTAGGGTTGACTCGATGCAAAGGCAAAGGGGTGGCTTTGATTCTCAAAGGGCTAGCCAGATGTCAATCTTGACATTGATATTGTGGTTGATCTGTTATAACTGAAGAAAGTGCAACATGAAAGAGACATGGCTCAAGTTTAAGTTGAAAATGAACGGGGACTCATGCATCAGACAGATGTGTGCTAATTTACTACTCAACGGAGGATGTACACTTGCTGGATTTTCAGGTTCATTCTCGCGGTCTTCCACGTGCTTAAAACTTGAATGGAGGGAAGAACAACACCTGTTGTATTGAGCCAATCTACATCAAATTTCTCTCTCTCAATCTCTCTCTCCCTATGTATGTGAATATATACTCTGTATATAATATAATATAATATAATATAATATAATATAATATATATATATATATATATTGATTGTGTTTTTTAGATACCCGTTCTTGCCGTTTCGTTTCTTTTGATTTCTGTTTCCTGCTTCTCTGCTTTTCTGATTCTCCGCTTTGGTAAGGAAGTGACAAAGCGACCTGTTGAACACATTCGCTGTACTTGTTTGCGTGAAATAGACTATAAACCAATCCATCAATAAGTCTTAAACCAACTAAAAAAACGCCGAGCCAACCCTAAATAAATCTTGAACCAACCCTGAATCAACCCTAAAACAAGTTTAATGAACCGCAAAACAACCCTAAATAAACCCTGAACCACCTCTAAAGGAATCTCAAACAACCCTAAATAAATCATAGACCAATCCTGGACCAACACTGAATAGATTTTGAACAACGCCTAAATAGACCCTAAACCCATCTAACCCAGAACAAACTCCAAACCACCCCTAAATAAGTCATACCAGCCGACAAAATAAACCCCAAACACCTTAAATAGATCTTCAAACAAGCTCAAAATAAGCCCCTAAATGCATCCTAAACCAACCCTAAATAGATCCTACACCAAGCCTAAATAGAGATTATATAAACCAATCCTAAATAGAACTTGAAACAGGCCTAAAGAAACATCAAACCCAAATAAACCCTAAACTTCCAAATGCCGCAGAATACCATGCAATACGAACAATTAGAGCACCAACATCTTGCAAATACAGTTAAAACGGAACCTTCCAGCTCTAAAATGACGCAAATGGCAACGAAAACGGACAGAAAAGAAAATCCAAGAAAAAATAAAAAGGAAAAATAAAATCAGACCCGTATATTTAATGCATGTTTGCTTTGATTGACTCTGTCGCCAATGCAGTGTGTGATGAGGATAGCTTGAATTACCACAGTTCTGAGTGTGAGTTGAATGACACACACGAGACTCGTACTGACTTCAAGTTTACGCCCTGTATGTTGGTTGAAAGTCTGCCGCGTCCTTACTTAATTCATTGGCTTGTGGTGGATGCAGGATGTGATGAGGATACCTTGAATTACCACAGTTCTGAGTGTGAGTTGAATGACACACAAGACTCTTTCCTGACTTCAAGCTGACCTGCTGTACGTTGGTTGAAAGTCTTTGCCGCTTACTTATTTGTTTCATTGGCTTGTGGTGGATGCAGGGTGTGATGAGGATACCTTGAATTACCACAGTTCTGAGTGTGAGTTGAATGACACACAAGACTCGTACTGACTTCAAGCTGACCTGCTGTACGTTGGTTGAAATTCTTTGCCGCTTACTTATTTGTTTCATTGGCTTGCTCATAGTGGATGCAGGGTCTGATGAGGATACCTTGAATTACCACAGTTCTGAGTTTGAGATGAGTGACACACACAAGACTCGTACTGACTTCAAGCTGACCTGCTGTACATTGGTTCAAAGTCTTTGCTGCTTACTCATTTGTTTTATTGGCTTGTGGTGGATGCAGGATGTGATGAGGATACCTTGAATTACCACAGTTCTGAGTGTGAGTTGAATGACACACAAGACTCGTACTGACTTCAAGCTGACCTGCTGTACGTTGGTTGAAAGTCTTTGCCGCTTACTTATTTGTTTCATTGGCTTGTGGTGGATGCAGGGTGTGATGAGGATACCTTGAATTACCACAGTTCTGAGTGTGAGTTGAATGACACACAAGACTCGTACTGACTTCAAGCTGACCTGCTGTACGTTGGTTGAAAGTCTTTGCCGCTTACTTATTTGTTTCATTGGCTTGTGGTGGATGCAGGGTGTGATGAGGATACCTTGAATTACCACAGTTCTGAGTGTGAGTTGAATGACACACAAGACTCGTACTGACTTCAAGCTGACCTGCTGTACGTTGGTTGAAATTCTTTGCCGCTTACTTATTTGTTTTATTGGCTTGTGGTGGATGCAGGGCGTGATGAGAATACCTTGAAATACCACAGTTCTGAGTGTGAGTTGAATGACACACAAGACTCGTACTGACTTCAAGCTGACCTGCTATACATTGGTTGAAAGTCTTTGCTGCTTACTCATTTGTTTCATTGGCTTGTGGTAGATGCAGGGCGTGATGAGAATCCCTTGAATTACCACAGTTCTGAGTGTGAGTTGAATGACACACAAGACTCGTACTGACTTCAAGCTGACCTGCTGTACGTTGGTTGAAAGTCTTAGTGCTTGCTCATAGTGGATGCAGGGTGTGATGAGGATACCTTAAATTACCACAGTTCTGAGTGTGAGTTGAATGACACACAAGACTCGTACTGACTTCAAGCTGACCTGCTGTACATTGGTTGAAAGTCTTTGCTGCTTACTTATTTGTTTCATTGGCTTGTGGTGGATGCAGGGCGTGATGTGGATACCTTGAATTACCACAGTTCTGAGTGTGAGTTGAATGACACACAAGACTCGTACTGACTTCAAGCTGACCTGCTGTACATTGGTTGAAAGTCTTTGCTGCTTACTCATTTGTTTTATTGGCTTGTGGTGGATGCAGGGCGTGATGAGGATACCTTGAATTACCACAGTTCTGAGTGTGAGTTGAATGACACACAAGACTCGTACTGACTTCAAGCTGACCTGCTGTACATTGGTTGAAAGTCTTTGCTGCTTACTCATTTGTTTTATTGGCTTGTGGTGGATGCAGGGCGTGATGAGAATCCCTTGAATTGCCACAGTTCTGGGTTGGAGTTGAGTGACACACAAGACTCGTATTGACTTCAAGCTGACTTGCGTTTTTTGTTTTGCTGGTTCAATCAGACAGTTTTTTTGTTTTGGATCGTGAGTGGTAAAAGAAGTCTTGGTTCAAGTGGAGGGAGTTGACCGTTGCGCCTGAACAGATTCAATCTCATGTTTTGGCGCAGGTGCATTTCTGTCAATACTACATTTTTTCTGTGCTTGCCAGGTTTCTGCAACTGTCAAAGCATTCATCAGCCAAAAGCCCAGAGTCAGAAAGTCGATTTTCTCATGACTAAGGGTGGGGAATTTGAAAGGAATATGAATAATTGATAAGGAACTCGAAGAAAACCAGTTTGCAAGCTGTGTCCCTCACCAGGTTCCAATGGAAAGTGGAACAGCAACCGCTCCAGGTGCGGATCTTCCAACTGAACTGATTGAGCTGTTGGAGAAGATTGTGCTCCACAACTCCGACTTCAGCACGGTTCCCAGCTGTTCAGTGCCTTTAGTGGGCATGGCAGGCATGGCGGGCATGGCGGGCATGGCGGGGATGACCCATGGCTCCAGCTAGACTCTGCGCCGCTACGCTTCTGACCACAGCTTCTGAGGCAAGAACAGGAACTTGCAGAACCTGCTGGTCCTTACGGCAATCAAAGCTGACAAGCCCGGCCCTAAGATGTTGGTGGATTTCAGTGGAAAACAACTTGGAACTTGCAACGATTGGGCAACAATCCTCCAAGTGAATTGCCCGTTTCCTGCGTCCACTTTATTGTTTCAGTGAACACGGTCCAAGAAGGTCTCCAGTTCGCGGTGACGTTTGGAGTTTGTGGGCGGACTTTTCTTCATTCAGCTCCCCTCCAAATTACTACTGACTCACCTCCAGGAGCCGCCTGTCCTTGTCAGAGTAGTTGGAGGTTTCCTGAAATGGGGGTACCTTCAAATCATCCATTTTAATAGGATTTTCCATTATAAACCATCCATTTTAGGGATCCCCCATTTTTGGAAACCCCCAGTTCCAAGAATTCGTGGACAGGGCACGTGTCATGGACTACATCAACCGCCTGGACAACTACGATGGTCCAGAGATTGCCAAGATCGTCTGGGACCGAGATCAATGTACCGCAATCCGTGTACAGTATGGGATACAGGGTGCTGCATCTGCAGATACATGTAGATGAGATACAGTATATGACATAGTAATACATAGTATATGATACAGAATACGCACACATATATATATATATATATACATACACATATTATATATGCATATAAATACGCACACATACATGATAACCATGTAAATGATCATAAATGTATACCTGTATACAACACAGAATGAAAAGAAAAGACTGGTTGTTGTTCTTAATTCTCCGAAGTGGTCTTCTGTAAGGCCCTGGGCGATCCTTATGGCCTCTATGAGGAGGCACGCAACTGGTCCAGTTGGAAACTATTGAGATTCCTATGAAACACTGGAAATAATGGCATTATAACGGGATTATAATGGGATAAATCATGTACCAACTGGTGATTTGGATTTCGCAGCCATCCGCAGTATGGTACAGATTTCCAAAAAAATATTACTTGTAGGTCTGCAGATGTGATGATTGTGCCCAAATGCATGCTTGATGTAGGCATTTCTCATCTACAAGAAGTGTGGGCAGAATGCAGAAGCCATGGAGTGACGATCTCAACGCTTTCTTGTGGGAATAGGCTGGCTATAGGGTCACTGGATGTCATTGGGCAATCTAAAAGGGAAACAACATGGACATGAAACACCGACAAATTTGTCGATACCTTCAAGATTCAAGACATTGGCATGTATGGACAGTCTTTCTTTTTGCAGATGTAGAAGTTTTAGTGCAGACTCTGAACTTCCCAAACGGAGCCCGCAAGACAATGCTACTGAGTGTGTTGCTGGAGAACATCAACTCGCTGGAGAGGGCACAGGAGTTCGCCGCACGCATCAACGACAAGACGGCCGGGGCACGGGTGGCCTATTGGTGATCGCCCTGATTGCCCTGATCGCCCTGACCCTCCTGGGTTTCTGGCAGGTCTGGTACAAGCTGGGCAAGGCACAGCTGGAGAACGGCAGTGTCCGGCGCTTGGTTTGACATCTGCCGTTGCGCCCCTGTGACGCCATGGATGCCATGGATGCCATGGATGCCATGGTCCTGCAGGTGCCTGAGTCAGTCGACTCCTACCTGAAGTCCGAGGATGCCACTGATTATCTCGAAGTCATCCAGGCAGTGTCTGCTGTCTCCTGATGTCTGTTGTCAGTATGAAATTATATGAAGATATGATATGATGATCCACCAAAGGGAAATCGAAGAGAGGTGCCTCTAAAACACTGACACAGTCAGCAAGCATGTGGTTCCAAATGTTGCTGATTGGGACACACTTGCCAGCTGCCGTGTTGTCAAGTTTTAGCTGGCTGAGAAGTCACTTCGTCATTGCCATACGTCCTTGGCTCAAGTGAAAAGAACAATGTTGATGTGTATTGTATGGTATTCTTTGTCTTTGGTACGCACATTTATTTTGTTTATGCATCAGAAGGACAGAAACGATCACTGTGTCTAAACATGTCAAATCATCAAGAGAGATGCAGGCTAGAAGTAGCTCTTTTCGAAGCGCAAAACACAAGTAGCATCAAGTAGCTATACTGGCCATACTGTGTTGGGTGAATACTTTGGCACAAGATCCTGTCGCTCCTCTCAGTTATTTTCCACCTCAAAGGCGTCATGGCCATGGCTTTATCTTCGCTGCGCTGTCACCGGGTCGCCCGGGTCGCTGTGCCGCTGCGAAGTATCTTGCCACGTGGCGCCCAACTCGCCCACCGGCGATGTTTGAGCATCCAGGCAGGGCAGATGGAGATTGATGAAAATAATTGAAAACATGGCTATTGATGGCTATGGATCAATACCTGCAAATTCCTACAAGTACCATTTGTAGGAGGACGACCATCCATTCACCAACTATTTTGATGCTCACCAGGGGAAAGGGTTTTGACCCATCCCTGCACACCTATATCTTTTTAATCGAACTTTCCAAGACCTTCTAAAAGCGTCTGAAACATATTTTGATCAAAGCTTTTGCTGCTGGAGCTGAATGCGCCCAAACGAGCCAAGCAGTTGAGATCCAAGCAGGTTAGCCAAGCATCGGATATCTGAATAAATGGTTGCACAAATATGACGGTAATGGATATGGCATGTTGGAATGGGCTTTGAACAAGGAACTCAGATCGGAGCTCTGTTGCTTCGCCTCCGCTTACGACCTGTACGAGCTCACCACAAATCTGATTTCCAAGAGGGATTTGTCAATAATGCCGGTGAGCAACACGTGTTTGGCAACAAAGTGACCTGAAAACAACCTACGCTTCGTATTGTGAAGATGTTCTTCATTTGCTTTTCAAAGATAGGTATCAGTTTTGCTTTGGCGTGCTTGGGGTTGATCAAAAAGGCAGTGTTTCAAAAGCCTGTTTAAATGGTCGAGAGTAAGTATTTTACACGCTTCTTTTCCTGATTCACCTTTTTGATCAACCCTAGGTTGCGCTTCTTGCTCTTTGCGCTGTGCTCTTCCCCTCGACTGTGCTACTGAAGGCTGCAATTTTACTGAAGTGGTGTTCATTCTTACCATTCTTATCATTCCTACCATTCACATGTACTCCTGCCATTCGCATCTATGAATCTATGCACTATCACCGTGAAGACCAGGGGACCATCAATGGATCAAAGTGCAGCCCCTTGTGACCGTGACTTGTGCGCAGGTGGATCCTCAGTATCCTGGCACTGCTGTGGAGCGTTTGCAGGGAATCCATCTCCGCGTGAAGACTTTGAGCAAAGAGGAGCTCAGTGGCGATTGGCAGGACCTGACAGCACAAAATTGCCAAAAATAGTCACCCCTGCTGCGAAATGCTGAGAATAGTCTTTGGGTTGCTATTCTCAGGTCACCGGCCACCGTGAAATCACCTGAAATCACCGTTAGATCCCATAAGATGCCATGAAATCCCATGAAGTCACCATGAAATCCTCATGAAAATTAAAGTGCCCTTCAGGAGGTACGCCGTCGTTTGCTATGGGCTGGTGGACTTCGAGATTTACCAGATGTCCCACCGGGCCAAGGCTGCACTGCGTTCCTTGGCGATCGAATGGACATAGCGATTGCAGTCGAACATGGGGCGAGAATCATTGGAAATAGATGGAAATAGCCTGTTAATATCTTGTTAGTGGATGTGAATAAACCCGCAATTATGGTAATCGTAATTAATCGTATAGGTTTTGACCCATGTATGGACATGTGCTACACTTTACTCTATGCTTGACCAAATTATGCGGAGGACTTGATTTACTTGGATCCATGTGTATATTTGCTCCATACATGTGCAGTCGTATCCTACAGGCCAGTCTGAACGTTGTTGAACATTCAACGATTTATTGGACAAAACCGAGAGACACGGCTGGCGTTACAAGGCATTCCTTCAATGATGACACGCATTGCGATCTCACAGCCATGCTTGGATGCTTAGCAGCAATGGAGGGGCGACTTTCTGGGGCCATTCCACTGAGCTTGACCTATTCAAATTCAGTCTATTTTAAAGGAGTCATGAATCCAGATGCTTTGGCAGTGTTACGAGGTGTAATTGGCCTTGCTGTACATGGAAATGTATGGAAATGTATGGACATGTATGGAAATGTACCGTTTGGAGGTTCGGCCTTTGCACGCATCCTTCCTTTCAAGGTGAAGTTTCTCACAACCAGAACGTGTCAGCCTCAGCCACAGCAGTGGTTCATGTCCTGCCTTTCCAAGCCTCTAATGCTGAAAGCACAGCGCCAAGGATGGCAACATTGAGGGCATTGCCACTGGCAACCTTCTTGGGCCAGGAATCCAGGTCATCAATGGGTAGGGGTCTGGAGCGATCTCATTCGGCCTCGCATGGACCATCTCGGGCTTTCTTCAAGACTCAGACGGGTTTTGTTCTCCGAATTTCGGAACTATTCTGAGCAGCTCTACTTTGTCACTGATTTTTATCCCGATCGTTTTCACCCTGTTGCATCTCTTTGGTTCTGCTTCGGAAAGCAAAAGCCACAATGCGATGATTGGCAGGTGGCTTCTTTGCCCGAATTGGGCCCGGGGGGTTCCTGGAGCACTTGCTGGGATGCCAAGTCCGATGAGTTTTTGTTCGCTGTCTTCACCTGGAGCAGTTACTGTGGTCTACCGCGGTTGGTTGAGGACTCGTTCGGGGCTTATTCTATCCTATATATAGGGAATTATCATTCACTATGGTAGAAATCCCCTTGACCAACCAATATCATATGGAACAATTCCCATAAATCAAGATAAATCAAGCAGTATTTCATGGAATGATGGCCTTTGGGCGTGGCAGCCACTGCTCACCTGTCTTCTCTTCGAGGCATCAATGGCTGCAACTTTGAGCCACCGCAGGATGTTGCACATGTCCAGTTTCGATCCAGGCAGGGGGTTGCCCCGCAAAATAGACAGCAAATCCATGAAATTCCTATTAAGATTAGTGCCACCCTATGAATAAACTGCGGGTTTATTATGTTTATTGATCCTGGGTTAACGTTATACCGTTATACTGCATACGTTCTTGAAACGTCAATTCATTGCAAAGATCGCTAGTGAGATTGGTTTCTCCGAAATGTTTGGGTCATGATGTGTTATGTTTCTACTGCAAAGAACAGCCTTTGCCACCTTTTCATGATCAATAAAAATTCGCTTGGTAGCATGCAACTTAAATCTGATGACTTGCGGACTTGGTATCTGGAGATGGATCAACACCTCTATTCAACACATATCATATTGCCACAAGGTGCCAAGGTGGTTGAACTGACCCAGAACATCCCAGAACCATCTGTAGCAACGCGAGGGTGGCCTTCAAGCTGGTGTGGTGTCCACCTGCGGAGACCTTAGTTGCTGGGGGCAATTGTGGAACGGCGGTTCCCTTTCGCGCAGGTTGTAGAATATTTCTGGCCTTTATGAAACTGTTCAAAAAGTATTTGCGATTTGTTCGAGCACCTTTTGGACCTTAGGACTTCAAGAAATTCGTGTTGGTAGATGATGAAGGTGAGTACTTGGCCCATGGTGAGCCAACTGGAGAGCTACCAAATGAGTTCTGGAGGAGCCATGACATTCGACATTTTCTGGACTCTAGAGTACTCTAGAGTGTCTGGGGCTAGTTCGCAACAGGGCGTCTTTTTTTGCCCGGCCCAAAAAAAAAGAATGGTACCCTGCAACCCTGGAACCCTGTAACCTGCTGTTGGGTTGCAAAGCTGGTTTACGATTGAAGCTTTTGCATGGTGCACAGTCACAACCGATTTCTTGAGAATGGCTTGTGACATTGAAATCTTTGATCGTCCGGACACTGAAACTACGAGTCGATACATTTTTTGCTGAGCGATTCAGCATCTCAGCGGTTGCGCAACCACTTGCAATGTTACTGTTATTGGATCGCCAGAGCCTTTAGTGAAGGAAAAGAAACTATGAGCTTGTTCGCGGTGGAAGAATCTTGGCTTGCATTGCCCACTGTGGAATGTATTGTGCAAGATCAAAGGTTCCGATGTTTGCATTTTCCCATTTTCCAGGCAGGTTCAAAAGTGCCAGAATGTATGTAAGATGCTGGAAGGGCTGGAAGGGTTGATCCGTGCTGCCCATGAATTTTGAAAAGACAACCGGCAACCGGCAACACCTCGCAGCTTTTGCGGCCTTTTCAAGTCGACAGGATATGCTCGTGTCGCTGAGAGCTTCAAGGAGGAGTGAATACAGCACCCTGATTTTTAGATAATTTTAGTCTATTAGTGTACAGTGAACGGGGAGTCACCTAGAGTCACCTAGTGTGACCTAGTCTGACTTAGTTGCCCTGGGGCCATCCCAGCCGTGTGACGACCATGTCACCAGACCAGCGAAACAGAGAAAAGTCAGAGCTCACAGACACCTCGGACACCTCGGGTGTACAGATTTCAAACTTGAAGAAGTGTCTCTGTTGTGCAATCAAGCAGGTTTTCGATGCACATATATATATATATAATCAGGTATGTATGATATATATATATATATATACAGAATACCCATGAATAACTATAGTTTCCGAGCTGATGAACGTTTTCGTATGTGAAATTGGTGGAAACCAGGGCTGCATTTGTTGAAAGCACCGCCGGCCAGAGTTGCCAGTGCAGGCAGCCGAACGTGAAGAGAATTATGAAGAGTTTGTGACTCAGAAACCAACCAGTCGTGAATTTTCAGCAAGATCTCCTTGCAAATTCCTCTAGCTCATGTGGGTGCTTCCTAAAACAGGGTACCCACCAAATCATCCTAAATATGGATCATTCAGACATTGGTTTTCCATGGGGCTTAGGATGCTTTAGGGTATTGTTGTCGAATTTGCCCATCAAAATGGGGTAATTCCCCCCATCAGCCGCTGAGGCTGGTGCGATACCTCACGATGGCACGAACCAAGGTGAAGGATTCGCAGATTGATGGCCTCTTGGACGAAGAAACGTACTGTACCAAAGCCATAGTTTGGGTCTCCCCTGAAATTTTGGCCTTTTTATATGGATATTATACAATACATACACACACACATATATATATATGTATATTATGTATATGTGTATATATATAATGTGGTACCTTCAATAAAGTACCTGAAATGACTTCAGTTGGTCCCCGAGGTGAGCTCGTGTATGCCTATGCCAAGACTGAGCGCCTGGTCCAATTCTCAGTTTGCGTCGCAGTTGCCGAAGCCCCCAGTTGGAAAGCGAACTCATTCCCGATCGACCGGCCCGGCCCAGAGCGACATGGAGGAGTTCATTAGCGGAACCAACACAGTGCCTCACTTGCAACAGGTTTCCTGAAATAGGGCTACCCCTAAATCATCCATTTTACTGGGGATTTTCCATTACCATCCAGCTATTGGGGTATTCCCATGACTTGCTCAGTTCAGATGATTTTTCAGTTGGAGATTTTGGCTCTGGGAGTCGATCGACTCGGACCCAGGCCAACATCCAGGCAGTTGGCGATCGCCTCTATGATGAGAAGTTCTACAAGGCTGTTCTCCCAGTATCTGAAGGAAAAAGAGACACACACTGCACTGATTAGATTGATTAGCATGCATTTCACAAAGCTTATCTTTACATATCTTTCCTGGTAATTACATCAAGCTTGCACAGAATCTACTTGTACATTTGTATGCCCATTTCTACATATATATATAATATAAATATGTATGTATATATATATATATGTATACACATACATACACTGTATATACACATGCATTAGCCTCACATCCCACAGACACAGAGAGCACTTCTGCCCAGTGACCTCGTGGAAAGTATGCTACTGAGATCTGCTGCGCAGAGCATACTGCCACATACCACATAGACAGTTATAGATATATTCAGGGCGAGCATGCCTTGGGTTCCTAATTAACCATAATAATAATAATACTTGCTGGGGGCTAGAGGGCTGACCCGCCATTGAGAGTTGTTACCGGAAGCATGTTCATACTCGCAGAGAGCATCCAGCATAGAGGCATCCATGCACATTCGTGCGGAGCATAGGGCCTCGAGTTTCATTTTCTCCTGCGACAAGGGAAGGGATTTGGCGGTTGAGTTGTGAACTTTGGAGGCTGCGAAGATTTTGTACGCCTCCATCCCGAACAATGGGCGCTTGGCCTCCTGTATCTGCCTCAGACGCAGGGAAAAATGGTTGGCTTTGCATTCCTTTGTCAGGGAGAAGTTTGGCAGTGTTGTAAAGAATCAGAAGGTACACATTGTTGCACGATGTGAGTGTATAGATGCCCCCAGGCCAGGGGTGCCCCCCAGAGGTTTATCGGTTTATTATGTGACCAACTCTTTAGGGTTTGTTTAGGGTTTGCTTAGGGTTTGTTGAGGGTTTCATTCAGGGTTTTTATTTTATTTTATATTTTTTAACAATGTTTTTAATAAGATTTTACTTTCAAGGCTTACTTCGGGTGTTATGTCAGATTTAGGTTTTAGGGTTTAGGGTTCATGGTTTTGTGTTTTGGAAACAAATCTCGCTAGCCGGGCAATCTGACGACATCCCAAAATGCATAAAACACTGGCCCTGCGCAGTCAAAACAAAACTTCCCCGGGCAGCACCCCCCGTCCTGGCCGTGTATATATATATATATATACTATATACGCATGTATATATGTGTGTATATATATATACATATAATAATAATAACAAAAATAATAGTAATAATGATAATACATAGACATATATATATATATAATATACATTAACATAGATATGAACAAAAGTACATGATATGTGTATATATATAATAGATACACATACATCCACATACAGAGTATATATGTGCATGTATGTATGTATGTTTGTATGTCTGTATGTATACACTTTTCATTTGCATGATTCCGGCCTAGAATGTCAGTTGTGTTTTATTGGGTACATTCTGAACACCGGGTGCAAGTCCTTCTTTCCAGTGCTGAGGCCACGTGCAGCTCGGAGAGTACACGCAGGCATCCCTGTCACCACTTCCCAAAAATCAAGGGATTTCCCCGCCATCAAATTCACCATGGGGATACCATTGTCCTCAATGGATGGGGTTAAAACCTTCCTGGTAAACTGCCTGACTCGAGCGGCCAGGCGGTGGAGGCAGCGAAGAAGGCCAACAATCCAAAGACCTGGCAGGAGGCCAACTTGCCGCGGTGGTTTCATCCTCTGGGTGTGAAAATGGGGGACACCATGGGACACCCCAAAAATGGCCAACATTTTTTTTTTTGGGGAGAATGATGGTACCAATGGGATGAATTGGACTATGTTCAGACAGAGCCACTTTCTACTCAAATGACCATGGTTGATATGGGGGAAAAAACTGAAGGCGGAAAGGGATGATGTTTTTAGATGTTTAGTCCCCTTCTTAACCAACCGGTGTTTCATGGAATGATGGCTTTTGGGAATCCAGATCTTCTTTGGTTTTTTTGGGTTTTTTTCAGTTTCACTGTTTCTCTGTTGTTGCCTCTGCTTGGAACTTCGACGTGTCGTGCAGGTGAACTTGGCCTGTGTGAAGGCTGAACAATTCCGCTGTTTGGCTCTTGGATGATGCTGGTCCTGCAGTCCTGGATGTTCATCGATCGCAGATGCATTTTGTTTCCACAATTGATTGCTAATACACATGGATTATTCACATGTTATTATGGATGCGTAAAAATTACATGGTTAATTAATTAATGCATTTCAACTTTTTCAGATCCATTTGTATTGAAATGTAGCAATGAACAGCACCAGCTAAGAATCTTGGCAAAGCTTGACTTCTTCGCAATATTGAAGATAAGATACCCAAGGCGCAGAGATTGCCGGCCAGCACATCATTGCAGGGTGCTTGGATCCTCTCACCAAGTCCATGTGTAGCTATGAATCCTATGACAAATACAACGGGCTGCCCGGGCTTGTGCGATCTGAGGTTCATCCCGATCATCTCGAAGAGGTCATCTCCCAGTATGAAAAGCTTGGAGCTCAGCAGAAGAGAGCAGACCAGAGAAAAGCTTGGATTCATGCTGCACTGCTGCACTTATCTGCACTTGATGGTTTTTTTGTTGACTTTTGGACTGAAAACATTTGGGACCCAGGCAGGGTTGCTTCGATGCCTGGCCCTCTGCTTTTTTTTGAGATGCAGCACTTGGATTCCACGGAACGCATCATGGTGGAAAGAAAAACTTCGATTCGAAGCTGGAATGGTCCAGGGATTTCAAGGGCACAGAAAATGAGAAGAATCCACCAAAGGTGTCTTGATGAAATCCAATTCAGCTGCTCATTGTGCAGAACGCAGTGCTCAATTCCAAGATTTCCAAGGCCTTGATGCAGCTGTTGGAGTCAGGCCTTGGCAATGAGCGTGCCAACCTTGGCCGGGGGCTGCATGGCCGCATGGGTGCTAGAGCACTAGATGGTTACTACATGGTTAATGTTAACCCACAGGATGGATAAACCCCGAGTCTATTCTTATTTGGGGACCAATTTTAGGAGCAATCTAATCTATCTCTATTTCAGGGGTATCACACAACTAATAGTCCGGGTTTATTAGTCCGAGGTTGACATTAGAAGATGGTTACTAGAGGCATTCAGGTGAAAGTGAGCTGGATCCTGGTCCTCCGTAGAGTATAAAGTCTAAAGTGCATGATCAGTGGAGAGATAGTAGGGGAACATCTTATACAAGATGTGCGAAAGGGATCGAACTTCCTACAGCTGGGTGTCAGGAATTTCCCCGTTCTTTGCAGGGGTTTCTGAAGATTTTCTTGAGATTACATCGAACATACTCTCAGCAAAGTGAAAGACCTCTATAATGCTTCCGTTTTGTTTGAAGACACGAACATCTCCTTGCCTCAATCACATTGATGTGCAAGCTTTGCTTCCATTGGATCAAGCTGATTAGCCATTGCAAGGATGAAAGTCCCCTGGCAAAGTAGCAAGATGTATCTCTCAATATCCAGTGGAAAACTGAAATGCATATAAAAAAATATTGAAACAAAAATAGCATTTTTTATGGTATGCCTGGCAACATATACAAGACGTCCAGCCGTCTAGCCTTTTCGGACATGCGGACATTCGAGCAGAAAGGAGAACAGCTTTTTCCTTTGGCGCAAATAGCTCGCCAGAGGAGTTCAATCCCATGCGCGAAGATGCATCCACGACTTTGGCAAGCATGAAACCATCGTGTGACTCAGCAAAAGGATGTTTTGAGCGGATGACAACGATGGGAAGGGGAGCTCCCGAAAAAACTTCAGCTTTGAAGAGATGCGAAAGACAAAACACTGCAGGCTGCCTGACAGCTACGCACCACATTGAAGGACCCAGCGAACCAAGGCCCGCCGGTGCTACTCATTGATTTTATACGCGCAACATGTGCAAGGTTTGATTTCAACAGAGCAAAAAGAAGGGAAGTAGGAAGAAACAACTTCCCACAAAGCAAATTTGGTTACAGGTTTCCTCCACAGTCAGAATAGTGTGGCTCCTACAGATAAAACGCATGAAAACAAAGCATTGAAGCCATCTAAGAAAGCCATCGTCAGGTCTGAGTCTTTGGACCCCGAGGCTGGAAGCTGGGGGTCATAGTTGATTGGATGTGACTAGCTGGTAGAGTTGATATGTTGCTGTGACCACTGTGAAGTAAAGAGTTTTGGATTCGGAAGATTTTGGGACAAGCCGCCACGGGGTTGACTTTCATGAAGCCTCGGAGGCAAAGCTGGTGGCAGTGTGTGGCCGTACGCGCAATGAGACGGACTCCACCATTGACACAGCGGATGAGGCGTGCAGAATGTTGTCAAGAGGCAAACAATAGTCATTTGTAGTCCGTTCAAATCGTCCTTTCTATACGAGATAGAGAATACCCATTTGTACACCATCTGCTCACCATTTGATCCTTGTATGTTTTTTTGGTCTTTTCCAAATGGTCAGTGAAGAAGTCGTTTCGTGCTTGATGTGGCAGCATGTGGCATCAGTGACACTTCCAGCTCTTGTCACAGGACAGTACCACTGACGGAAACGAGGAATGTGAGGATCTGGAGCTTCTGAGCTGCCCAAGTCCCACGTCTGACGCAGGTTGGCACGAGACGAGTGTTGGTCCACCCACAAGTTTAGCTCACCTTTGGGAACTAGTACAATTGAAGGTCTCTTAGGTGCCCAATTGCAGACCAGAGGTTGGGATTCTGCCAGGCTTGTGTACTTAGATTCAATCATATTCAAGTCCGATTTTCAAACCCAACCAAAAACTTGCAGGGGAAGCTGTCACAAAGCTGCCGTCGCCAGAGGCGAGGGCCCGCAGTCCACTAAGCAGAGATAAGATGCTGTGGGAAAATCCTGTAGCTACGTGTGGAACCGAAGGCCTTCTATCAAACAAGCTAGAGCCATGACCCTCAAAAGGCAGCAGTTTTGAGACCAAGAGCATTTGATTTTGCAATAGGTGCGCCAAGCAAGTGCAAGTTGCAGCACACTCCATGTTAGTTGCTTTCGGAGAGTGCAACACTTGGAGAATATAGACTAATACCATCAAATTTATGAATCTATCCCAATTTCCAAACCAAAGATTTATAGCGGTATAAAGTGATGCCATAAATTAATTGCAATCATGCAACATCCTTTTCCACCATGGATCTATACTGACCTCTGGCATCTCGCACTTGTAGCTTTCCACCCCAGGAGGAAAAGAAATGCAGTGACCAAAGGATGGCAGTGCTTGGTCACTCGACATACTTGACGCGTGCGAGCAGGGAAGCACATTTCGTTCTGTAGGATGTTGAACAGAAACTTCCAAGTGCAATGTATGTGAGAACTTCAACGTGATAGACATGAACCTCTTGGCGAAGAAACCTGCTCTGATTTCTCCGATTTGAGACATGTAACTCCTACTGAGGTGCCTAAGGCATGTCTTTTGGACCGTTACACCTGGACCTTTTTGCATCTCTGTGGGGTCCTTTGGACCCTTTTGAATTCGTCGTTGCAGCCATTGTTCGAGGCTTGCTGGTATTCCTGTGCATTGCCTGCGGCTGTTCCTGCCAAGCGCCCTATGAAGTGTTGAACACGAAGGCAGGCACTGTTGAGTCTTTGAATTGATATGGCAGTTGTGAAGTGATTTTGAGATACTGAGTCATATATCAGGTCCAAGTCCAGCTAGATGAGGAATGAAGACATATCATATGACATTAGTTTGCGGCTCTTTAAATGTTCGGTATGCACCCATTTGTGGAGTCGCATGGCTCTTTCCGGAAATGGTTTCAACTTCAAGACAAAATGGGTTCGACTGCTGCTCCGCAACGACAGTGCCATACCTGGCACCACTTGATCCAGAATTGTCAGGACAAAGGTTGCGCGCATTTGATCAGTCCCTTTGCTGCACCAGCTGCACTAACCTTTCCCTCGGCAGAGGGGCTTTGGGCAGGGGCTTCTACGCGTCTTGACGTGCAGGCATCCAGGTGAAATCAAGACTCATGGCGGGACGGACTGAAACACGCTGAAACATGATTCCTGAATATTCCTGACACTTTCACAAGGCACCTGCAGCTGAGATTTTGTCCCTCTCAGCTTTGGCTCGGTTGCTTTTCTTTTTTGATCGATTTCTTTTGGTTTTCTGAACTCCTATCTGCTTGTATTAATTGTACTCAATTGTACTAAATTGTACTATGTACTCCTGCTGTACTTCTACTTCTACATCATACAATCATCTTACGATCATCTTACAATCAATGCAGGACTTGTCCATGCTCTCAGGCTTGGCTGAACACATCTTTGGCCTCGTGGTCACGCTTCGTAGCGCTTTCAGATCACGGCAGTTGCCGCTTCAGTGGCACATCTGTCTTGCCGCAGGCAGAAACTTGGGACGTGAAATTTGTTTGTCTGAAAATAGATAAAATAGGGCCCCCAACTATTTGATTCTTAATCATGGTTAATCAATGTTCATCAAAATGGTCATTTTGAGGTATACAAATTGTACCATGGTATAGCTCCATTTTCAGACCCAGATCTGATGTTGCGGCAGGCTCAGTGGGCTATACGCAGCTGCAGAACATCGCCTTGGGCACACAGCTCCCGACGCTCGTGTTGATCACCATCAAGTCCCTTGGCTGTGCCCGGCATCCGCACGAGTGTCAATTTGGCATGGCGAGGCGGTGTAGGAATGGCACTTGGATGTGCCACTTAGGATCCGTGGTTTACAATCCACATATAACCCATACAATCCCATACATGTGGGGATGTTCCGTATAGAATTAGGGGTACCCATTTACTAAGTGGGATGCACCCCCAAGCACGAGTCCTAGGAATGGCAATTTGCTTGCCAATGTCTTTCTTGGGAAGCTGTTGCTGCATCGTCAATATGGCCTGCAGCAGCTCGTTGCTGTGGTGCTCCTCTCTCTTGGACTCTTGGTCGCTTTACATATCGCAGAAAAAGACGGGTGAGTCTTCTTTCTTTGTGGTCTACTTAGTATACAAATGTGTTGTGACTTCACTTCATTCGGTTTTATCCATTCAGTTTTGATATTTCTTGTAGTAGGTGGCCCTACCTCTCAGACACCTAGGTGTTCTTGCTATTTTTTCTGTGGATGCAGGGATTGTGACTTTCAGAAAGAACAATAATGTCATTTTGATATCAGTATGTTTGCGTGATGAAAGCAGACACAAATGAAACAATAATCTGGTTGGAATTGCAAACACTCCCAGATATGATGTCAAAATCTATTGAACATTCCTTCAGGAGATCAGACTGTTTCCATGAATTTAAAGGTATTGATTTAAAGTTCTTTTCTCACAATGATTGCAGATGACAAAATCACACTGTGTCAGCATCATGTTTGTACGTGATATTCGAGACAGATCACGAGCACGAAATACAGACTCATTGAACCAGAGTTCTCCAGATGCCTCTCGTGATGGTCACGGTGTTCAACCGCCGAATCACATTCTACACGGATTTTCCAGGGGAAAAGCGGTTCTGAAAGCTTGCTGAGGACTCATTCTTGTGTCGTTGGCGGGAGCTGTTGGTGACAATACGACCGAGAATGGGCACAGCTGCGTACTAGGCAGGGCTTGAAAAAAATATGGTTCAATTCAACAGGGTGGAAAAGACCGTATAGACTTTGTAGAATTTACTCGATTTCACATCTGCCCTCAGCGATAGTTTTGCGTATAGACCTTTTCTTGAGATTCTTGGAAGGCAATCTTTGGCCTTTGGGACAACACGGCATATTGAGTAGCATGCTCAAACGGTCGCCCTGCCAAATTCTTGTCCATCACTCAAAAGGCAACATGGGGCTGCTGCCTACTGCAAAAGGGACCATGCTTCGAAGCTCAAATGCGTTCCAAGCAAAGTACAGACAATACCACGATTTCGTGTCCACCTTTTGGACCCCACAAGTCTGCGATAAAGCCGCCAAAGTACAGAGGGAGTGAAAATAGATGAAAAGAGATGAAAAGAGCAGACAAGGCATGTGAAAAAAGGTTGGGCTTCAGCAGGTGGGAATAGGTGGGAGGTCGGAAACATTGGAGATCACAATACAAAGTGGGCCGGTGGGGGCTTTGAAAACAAAGGATGCTGGACTAAATGTTTGATGCCAAGGGCTGGTTCAAAATACTTGCCAGCCACAAGTTTCAGTGCTGAGACAAAGCAATCAGCGCAATGTTGCATTGAAGCGTACTAACTAGTGGAATGAGTAGGTCCACCCAAGCAGGCCCAATCCTGCAATTTCATGATGAATTGAAACAAAGAATTCCTTAGAGAACACTGGATATTTGAAAATATATGGCTCACTGCTGCTTGTCGATGAATCCCTTCTGGTCCGTGATACAACAGCACAATGCGAAGCAAAACACGCTGTGCCCTTAAGCTCATGTCCATACCGAAGGTCTTGGAATATGTCTTTGAAGGTCTTTCATTATATCATATCCCATGATATTCCCATTAGTTGTTGGTTAAATCCATTATCTCCCTAGGTCTTTGCTCATTTTCTATTATCCACAGACCAGTCATTTCTACGCGGTCCACATTTGCGCCGCAGGGATCATCTTGCTGGCTGGCGCTCTTCTTAGCCGTGCAGCTGGCGGACTTGTCCAGGCCTGTGCTGCAATGCACGCTGTTCAACTCTACAAGATGTCCTTGTCAAATGAGTAGAGGCTGCTAAACCCCTGTTGGTTGATGATGGTTGATGATTTGTTCGGGGATTATACTACCCAGATCTATCATAATCCACGATGCATTTGATCTCAGGAACAGCTCTCACGCACACGGACAGTGCCGGTTGAGGAGTGGGTGCAGTGGACAGCCACGGGACTGTCAGATCTTTTGTTTCGTGCTTTGACTCTTGAAGCTGTTGAGGTCAAGCTTCCGAGATGTTCATAAACTTCATATATACAATTTACAGTACAATATATACACATAATGTATATACGTATATATATATACACATACATCAGGTGTTGTATTAGTGATATATGATATATATATATATGACACACACACATATATATATATGATATATATATATGCTATATATATATGACATATATATGATATATACATATATGCTATATATATATGATATATATATATGATATATATATATGATATATATATATATGATATATATATATATATATTTATGATATATATATATATGATATATATATATGATATATATATATGATATATATATATGATATATTATATATATATGTATGATATGGTTTCATAACTTCGAGTCTTGCTGTGTGAAACGTTCAAGCACATGCATCCTTGGATTAGTGAGGTTGGTAGATTTTTGTTGTTGGGGTCAGGTTCGTCGTGGTTTGGGATTTGGTGCCCTGCCCATTGTTCCGCCAGTGTCCCTCTCATCCTTGCCATATGATATTATATATCATATATATAAAATACATAAACGTACACATGTTTCCACACAATTTTTTCTCCATTTAGGAGCTGCTCTTCTTTCGCAGCCTCTTGGGCTTGCCGGCAGTTCTGCTCCAATACAAAAGCATTTCAACACACAGCCGCCAGTGGTTCGCAGGCGCGAAGCGATGGTTCGTCATCGACCATTGGGGATAGCTGTGATTGTTTGGGACAGAGGTGTTTTGCATGAGACAAGTGAGATACGTGAGTATTCTCTGCATTTGAATACTGTCTCCCATCTGCATTTGACACTTGCAATATCAGTTTCTGCAAAAAGATACCAGTTGATCCAATTGTGCACTGGTTATACATGATTAGTTAATATTAATTAATATTAGTTGTTTGCCAAGTCCATAGCTTGATTCTTCCTGGTGCCCCTTTTAATGTTTTTTTTTGGCTCAGGCGAAATCATGTTTGGATGGCCGGGACCATGGGTGCTGCTGGCATTGAATACAGCCGCGCCCTTTGCGAAGTGGGAGGGACTCCCAGGGGTTCCCAGGGACTTCGAGGGACTGCAAGTCTTGAAAAGATCCAGCCTTAGGGTAGGTGAAAATGGGATACTCACAATTCCAATGGATTATAGTAATTCTATATTGTTCGCATCATTTTCCCTAGATTTACATTGGTATTTGAGTGCTATACTCCAATTTCAGGCGCGCCCAGATCTTTTTAGTTCAGGTCATGGACTATGTGACGCGCGTTGGCATCACACTTTTGATCGAGCGAACATCTGTGACTTGGTGAACTGGGCGCGTCTGAAAATGCCGCAACTGATAGGGAAAATGGTGATCAAATGGTGATCAACCATAAGACTTTGACTTAAACAAAACATGCTTGAGATTGAGAATGTCAACCTGGATGGCTGTTTGTTTCACCAAGTCACTTCTGATGTTCACGTGCAAGACATAGTCAGGATACTGTAGAGTCCGAAAATGGATTCCATTTGTTGCTTTTGCATTCATGGTAATGATTCTTGTTGTGACTATGACTATATCATTTTACCGATTCAATTGACCTGTCTTCAGAACACAGGCTCTCACCGCGAACCTCGTCCTTACTTTCCAGCGCTTTGTGTCTTGGCACCAATTTGCTGCCATATGGAACTATGAGGCATTCCAAAGCTGCTGGCAGATCTTCTCTGCTTGCAGAGACGCATTAATTCCTGTTGATAGATCCAGCCTTTTTCTAGAGACTTGTAAAATCATGAAAGTAATATTTTCTTGAATTTAGCATCAGATCGCATCAGATCTCCTGGTCAATGTTGAGTCAAAGTGAGTCAAAAGCTAACCCAGACAAATCTCAGGTTTCCTTCATCATATCTGCAGTGCTTTTGAGCCCGGAGCTGCCGTCCAAGTCTTTGTGGCTGGGCGCTCTGGTGGTGCCCTGACTGATAGACCTGGATGCAGCGGATGTTTTTTTCAAACACATTACTGCCAGCTGCAGAAAAACCAGTCGCACAGCATTGTAGCGACAAAGGAGCGACCGGAGTTGAGACGTCTGAATCTATCTTTTTCAGTTTAGCTGCATCTAAGCCTAGCCAGAGTCCTCAGATGTGCCACAGGTGCTTGCAGGGACATTGCTCTATGCAGTAGCACCTGCGGATGTGAAAGGCTCTCCCAAGGTGGGCGTTTTGTGGAGGTCTGCAGATAATAGGATGGGGTTTCTATATTTGACCTATGGAACCATTGACTATAGTCATTGACATCATCGACATCATCGACATCTTCGACATCATCGACATTGAATCAGGAGAAGTCCGCTTAAGACCATGAGACGAAGCTTCTGTCGTGGCCACAGGCCCTGGCCTCGGTGGTGCATGCTATGGCTTCATGAAGTCAGCGAGAGACATCGAATGTTGCGCATGTGATTCTTCTACTCTGGACATCTCTGGACCTCGTAACAGATTTTGATTGTCAAAGAAGCAGGTTTGAAAGATAAACCATCATCCAGCTAAAGCATAAGTTTGCGAAATTGAAAACTCCAAGCAGTGAAGCGTGGCTTCGCAGCCAAGGTGCGTCCGGCACAGCCTGACAGAGATGACTTCGCAAATGCAGAAATTGCTTCGCTCGGATTCCGGATGTAAAGGCATGGGTCCATCCTGTACAGTTTGGCCTTGAGGGGACAGGATCAAACAACTTGGAATATTTTGTCCGCGAAACAAAATCTGATCAAACTGGCAGACATCAATCTTTTTGGCCTTACTGCAATCTAGCATGTTGCAACTGTACGAAGTCTCCAAAAGTCCCAAAGTCTGAAAACTTGGAAAGCTGATACTATCCTTGGCACTGAGAATGAGAGACAAGGGGCACATGCAGTTTACGACTCCACGCTGATTGAATTCCATTTGGTGGGTTGCTCAAACCTATTGAGGTGGTCTCTCAAGTCTCCAAATGAGGTCTGATTCTGCATCAGTATCTCGTTTCAGTGGTTCTTTATTGCAAAGCTTTCGCGCGCGAGAGCTTTTTCAATTAGATGCAACGGGCGACCTTGGTCGGTCTGACTCAGGGCATTCCTTTGCTTCTGTTACCTTTCAAAAAGGTCTCAGAACTGGATTCTTCAGATATCCCAGTCGAGTTTGAAGTGCATTTTTATGCAATTTTTGCCAATGTATCTCGAAAGGAAGGAATTCCAGAGCAAGATCAGGAGGTCGCCCTTCAACGTGCATTGCGATGTTTGGGATCCCAGGTCTGGGCCAAGCAGCTGAGTTCAGAAGCAGAGTCAACAGGTCGCCAGGTTGTTCCGGCAACTTGTTCAGTGATACTGGGCCCGCTTTCCCATAGCTACACGTGATCCTATCCATTCGATTACTTTGCTTTCTTCTTGAAACTTTGGTCCGAGTTGCTTGAGGGCATGATATTTTACAGGTGTCTTGAGTTCCTTTGAGGCCACATCTTGTCAGGTGTTTTTTGTTCAAAGTTTCTGAACTCTCCACCAGCCTTCGTTGAGAGATCCCCAGAAGTGCCTGCCACAGGGGATCTCCGCAACGTAGCGGTTGCCTTTCTTGCTGCATTGCTCGCCTTTGTCAGTTGGCCCAAACTTTGGTTTCCAAACCATGTACTGGCTTGACGCGAACACAGAATTTTTGCGATCTGGCCGTACTGACAAGCTTTGAGCATTTGGTTGATGATGCCGACCAGCTTCAATACCTGCATGGAACCAGAGATGAGAAGCACGCGTGCCCCAGTTTCTTGCCGAGCCGCGGAGACGAACTCCGCATTCTCACAGGCTCTGAAGGTTTTCCAGGCAGGACAGGCTTGACTTGAGGTGTATTGAGTATTGAGTAGTCCTGCAGAAACATCTTCCAAGCACGAATGGCATTCTCCATTGGCCTACTTGCGACGTGCGACCTGTGCCGTCACGTTGTAATTCCATGCAGTTCCAAGATTTCTTACCTTGTACACCCCACAACTGGCACAACTCACAGCTGATTCACATTTTGATGCTGCAAGATTCGTTTCTTTTTTCCAGGGGGAATCTTGGAGACTGCGTGAGGCCTTCTGAGATGAATTCAGACGGATTTTTTCGTAGATGTGAGGCACATATTTCTGGAGGTTCCCGGTGCCTTTTTAGAA